GATCACACCTTCCCAGATGGTGGCCAATGTCTTTGGTACTGCCAGCCACACTCCAGCGGCCCACCCGCACCAGTCCCCCAGCCTGGTGAAGCAGCAGTCGGTCCCTCAGTACGACAGCGGCAGCGGCAGCGCCACCGCCAGCCCCTTCTTCCACCCGCCCGCGCAGCACAACGGCTCTGCCGCCTTCAACGGCGTGGAGGGCGGCAAGTGGGCTGCCGAGGACAGGCACGCGCAGCCCCCCGCACCCGGCCCACAGCTCGACCCCTTCGAGGCGCAGTGGGCGGCTCTGGAGGGCAAGGCCAAGCAGCGCACCAACCCCTCCCCCACCAACCCCTTCTCCAGTGACCTACAGAAAACATTCGAGATCGAACTCTGAGCACTCCTGGGGGGGCCGATAAATTGTACATTAGGCTAGAGGGATAAAGGGAGCGGAGGGGACTGTTTCTGATCAGTTTGCTTTGATAATCCCAATGGTCCCTTCAAACAAAAATGGGTTAGAAAGAGGGAGCAATTTTGGGGAGGATGGAAACACACAGAGAATTTAATGTGCAGTTCTTAAAAGGAATCCTGGAGCCACCCCAGTCTGCATTCCCTCGTCTCTTGGAAAGCTGTAAGTCAAATGGAGCGAAGGAAGGCACCCAGTCCCAAAGCCTGTTCTGCAGAAACATCAATCATCTCACAGAAAGGAAGGCAGATGTTTGTACCTGTGTCCTCCTGATGCCCTGGAAGCCCTGGATGTTCCCCCTCAGGGAAAAATTGGGTAGGGTGGGGGGTGGATATGGGTGGGATGTTGTCACCTTAGCAAAAGCTAGGTTTGTGGAAAAAGTTGAGCTTCCATTTTGAGTAACAAAGTGAATATTATATGTAAAGAATAAAGTAAAGCCAAAATCTTTATTTTTATGCATTTAGAATATTTTAAATAGTTGGATATTAAAAGCTGTATGAGTTGTAAGTAATCTTGCCAAAGGTTAAAAAACAAGGGGGTTGGATGTAAGAAATTGTACATAAGATTGATTTATCGCTGATTCTTATAGTAAGTAATATTGGGGGGGGGTGGAAAAAGGGGCTCTAGCTTGTTCTTGTATCTGTTCATTGTAAGTAGCATATTGCAACAACAATCACAACCAATAAGTCATTATATCGTAGTTTTAAATAAAGAAAACTAAAGAATAGTATTGTCATGGTTTGAGAACCATGGGGAGAATTTACTGTTTTTTATTGGAATCAGTCTACATATTCTATATAGTATGGATTTTTTTCCTTTCATATATTGCTGCAGTTTCTTTGTCTTAATCTATTGGTTCTAACACTACTGTGACAACTTACTGTCATCATATCTACATCCTGGGGCTGCCTGGGAAACCATTTTTATGTTTGTCTGTCAATAGTTCTTAGAGGTTTTTAACTTTGCTTTTATTTTTTCCCACTGATTTGTGAAACCTTGTGGTTAAGGCTGCAGCTGGTCCAGGTTCTGCCTCTGGTGACTTGTGAAAACCATCTCATTTTAACTTTACTTTTAAACTTTGGCCTTACAAGCAAATGTAAGTTATATATATTTGTACTGATGATTTATAATCTGCTTTAACAGAAATAAATGTTGGTGGTAGAAGCACTGCCTGTGAGAGACTTATTTCCCACAGTAATTCAGTTTCAGCATTTGCCCTTCTGGGTATCTTCTGTCTTGTAAGGTGGATGTGGATCAGCACATCCACCTTACAAGACAGGCTGCTTAGGCTGCTTGCTTACCTAGCAGCCTAAGAATAATATCTTAACACCTCTCATTTTCTAGAACCTGTTAGGTTGCATTGAACTTTAAAACTGAATTTCAAAATATCCTTGTGATGCATAAACACTTAAAGCTCTGAAATAGAGGTCTTTATTGAAAACATCGGATTCTGGGTTTGCAGGGCTGTATTTTCTATCACTAAATATTTACAAAGAGACAATTCAGTAACATTCAGTAATGGCAAAAAGGAAACCTCTTTCCTTCCCCTACTATTAGAAAGAGCCATATGAGATAATGATGTATGTTCACCTCTTCTCCATTCTTCCACTGAGTTAATATCTACCCTGTTTGTGTGACTGGTTCTTACCACATTCTTATGGGCACCACGTCAGTTTAGACACAAGGAAAAAAGTCAGACTCCATAACCTGAAGGGGAATAAACACTGCCTTTGTTAGCCCTCCGATTTGAGCTTGCCAGCAGTTCCCATTTCCAGGCAAGTACAGTGAGTCTTACAGTGACAGTCTAGAAAAGTACAACTTGTGACACTACAAATTCTTACCTGTGTTCAGTATGGTATGAATAGTAATGCAAACACTCCCTGTGGGATTTGAGTTGGTGTCAATGGTTTTTTCAGTTTTCAAAAAGCAAACAAGTATTTATAGACATTTATAGTAGGAAAGAAAGCAGCTAGTAAGAAAGTAGCAGTATCTTTCACAGTAAGGGCCCCAAGATCAAGCTGAAAATAGCCCAGTATAGTTACACCCTTCTCCTGCCCTGGAGATAAGCACTTCCTACAACCCATTGTTTAGAGAAAAAAATTAACATCTTGATTCTCACATAAAAAAGTAAACCTTGAGTAGGTGATTAAGTGGTACTACAGAGAGGGAGAAGCTGATCTTCTCAGAAGAAATGCAAAGATCCTTTAGTTAACTTGATGGCATGGATTTACAGCAGGGAGCTGTGTGCCTGTCAATCCCACCTTTACTGCCATGGTTGTGCAGCTGAAAGGAGGTCAGCATCAACTCTGCACTAGCCAGAGCACTTCCAATGTTAAAGTCCTTCCCATCATCAAGGCAGGGGGCTGCTATAGCCCTAAGGAGTCTGGAGAAAGCACTTCCTGGCCCCATCTTACATAACCACAGAGTTTAAATGACAGGTAACTACACAGAATATTTAAATATTCTAAAAATAAGGCCTCTGGCATCTTAGAAAGGGATTTTATAGAACTGGTTACTTACTCTGGGACAAAAGGGTCTGACACGTCCACAATCCACTTCCAACCATGCTCCTGAGCAGAGCCTGACTACCCCTTGATGCCACACATGGAACAGAGAGGGCTTCAAAATGTCCCTGATCTCCAAAGGCAAAAATCATACCATTTACTAAAATGGTAAAATATCCCATACAGACACACAGAGAAAAAGGTGCTGCTCTGAGATGTTAAATGGAAAAACATGTACAAACACAAGTGGATGTTTTCAGGACCATCTCATTGTTCTTAAATATCCAATAATTTCAAACCTTATACTGTAATGCCTGCCCTGAATTCCAGCAGAGGATTTTTTCCCTAATCAAATTAAAGGGTCTTAAATGCAAAATAAGGTCTTTTGTCTCTCCTAGCAAACAGAATCTATCAGACCAAAGAAGGACCCAGCCCCAAATAGCTGTGACTGTCACCTGTCTCTCCTGTACTGGATTGCTTGTAGACTTTGCTGTTCATTGGCATCCTAGAGCAGTGTGTTCAGTCCTGAACCATACCCGTGCTGATTTAGCTGCATTTCTTAAAAGCCTTAAAGTAACACAAGAAGAAAACAGAAGTAGAAAAACCCAATCCTCCATCCCCTAAACCAAAATACCAACAACCTCCTTTATACCTACATCTATGCAAATAATACATGGGTAATGTTGCTAATAATTATGATCAACCCATCCAAGTCTAGAATGAGGAAGAAGGGGACTGTCAGGGCTGATGCTAGGGTAGGACAGTAGTGTGAAGGCTGTAAAAGAGTCCTTTTGCTCAAAAGTAATTCAATTTTGAGATACTGAAGATACTCAAGGCCTTTCCTGGTTTAACATGATATAATCAATATAATCTCACCTCCCCACCCCTAATGCCTGAGATTTTCAGAGCCCCAGATAAGGGGGGAGTGGCAACACTTGTTGCCACTCCATGTTGGTCTTGAAATGAAGGATGCTTTTCAGCTACAGCTGCTCTGCATCTGGAACTCCTAACTTGTTAGCCTGTAGCAGCAGGCATCAGCTCAGGCCACATGCAGAGCCAGGCTTTCCTGAATTTAACTGAGACTAGAGCAGATTCCTGGGAGGTCTGTTCTGGCAAGTGAAATGCCCCTACACACGTATTTCTATGTGTTTATTATTAGCCCCTGCCCAAACTCAGCACAACATCAGAACAGCAGAGTTCCAGCTCAGGGGAAAAAGATTACCTGCTGACCCTTCCTAGAATGAGTGCTATTTAAACTGCAGCATCTCAGAACAGGTAACAGTGTTGGTATATTCATCTAAATTACCCCTAGCATTCAGAAGGGCTAAAAGTAGTTTTCTGTTTTGTCTTAAGCTTTCTGTGAAGCCTTGCTTCTGCATTTCACTCCAAAGCTGATTGCAGTCAAGAAGAAACCAAAGTGACCCTACTAGAAATTTGTCTAAGGTCTGCTGGAATAAAATAGTTACAGTGTCATGACATTACAGCTGCATCCCCAGAGCCAGTAATCTCCTAGGACCTGAACACTAATTTTGTATGCATCAAGCTGTTTCTCATGGCCAGAGTCCTTTGCATTTAGATGGAAAGTGTTCCCCAGGAGCACTTGTTCAGCAAAACTCATTGGAGGAACAAATGTTCATGGCTCATTAGTGCTTCAGTTAAAATGGTTCAGGCCCATCTTCAAACACTTCAGAGATTATGTTTTTAAGGGCACTTCTCTCTTGCTTGTATGAAGTCTCTCCCTCTTTCATGCTGGTCATCTGCCTTCTCTACTCACATCATCCTTACATCCCTATTATCATCTGCTTTCTGTGAATGACAGCAACAACTCTTAAGAGATGGATTAGGTACAGCAAGGCATACAGGGGAAAAGGAGTTTACAATAAACCTGAGGGTGGTGGGTCTCCCACCTTTGAACATTTACACTCACTGCACGCTGTTCAGTTCACCCTCGTGGGCTTTCCAGCAGGGCAGAGTTCCTAGAACTGTCCCATGCAGTAAAAGAACAGAGTTGAGACCTCCAGTCTTGTCATCGGTCACTGTGGTGGTGGCTGTCACCCGCGGGGGTGTGGGGGGCTGCCCTGGGGGCGGTGGCGGGCGCAGCTGGCGCAGCAGAAGCTGGAATAGTACTCATTACCACAGAGCTGGGCCTGCAGGATCAGGTCACAGTTGGCAAGGTGGGGCTGGTCCACGCACTCTCTGCTCAGGTCCACAACATGATTCACAGTAGCTGCAGCCAAACAAAGGGTGAACCGGCTGTAAATTTATCCTCAGATTGCTATTCCATCCCAAAAGACACAGCACGTTCCTGCTTCCTCCACCCCGCCAGCTCTAAATTTAGTCCAACATCAAGAAGGAGAGATGAGTTTCAAGATGAAACAGATACCTCTGGTGAGATACAGGAGGAAAATGCAGTTTCCAGGGAGAGGAGAGACCACTCTATCTACCCTCTATATAAAGATAGCTGGATGGTGTCTAAAGTCCAACTACAAATCATGCAACCAACTATTTGGTCAAGCAACTATGGCATTTTGGCTTCAGGAAGTTAATCAGGCTCCCAGTGCCCTGGTCAGGGGGTGTTTCCAGCATCCTGCTTTTCCGTCCATGGGCTCCTGAGGCAGCATGACCCAGAGGCTCCTGCTGCTCCCCAAAGCCCGAGGCTGGTGCTGGACTGGCACACACAATGGGTGTGATAGTGGCCAGGGGCCGGGCACTGTGCTGGGAGAAGGAGGAAGGCTGGGCTGGACTCACTGCTAGACCGGCTCCTCAGCATCTTCACCTCCGAGCTGGCACTGACTGAGCTGCTGCCTCTGTAGGCACTGCATGTGTAGGATCCCTCATCAGCCTCTTGGACGTTGATGATAGTCAGGCTTCCATCCTGGGACAGGTGGATGTGGTGGCCATCCCCCCACATGGGAACTCCATTCCTGTGGTGAAAAACAAAATATTTCACTATTGCCACCCCTGGGCACTAAAGGAGCTTCCTGTGCTCTTTGGAAAATAATGTTCTGTGAAAGGGGTGATTTTTTACAAGTTCAGCAGGAAGGAAGAAATCTTTTGCACAACCTGCCCCTGCAGTTGGGTGGTAACATGAGCCTGAGTCAGTCTGTATCCGTTGCCCAGTGTCTGCGTGGGAGGTAGCTGAGTCTGTGTGCTCTGTGCAAAGATATTGCCCTTTCTGCTAGCACACATTCTTGAGGTTTGAGGAACTAAGAGAAAATCCAGTGTGCCTTTCCCTCTCTCCAGGTTGTGGTCTGGCAGTACTTGTTTGGCTGGCATTGATAGCAGCACATATTGCTTGATGAGCATATAGGGTAGTGAACAATGTGCCCTCTTTCCTCTCCCTTTAAAAATTTGTTAAAAAAAACCAGCAATGTTGTGTCTCTGTTCAGTTCTTCCTAGAATAATCTGTGCCCAGCAGGAAAACTGTCTGAATTGTGAACTCCTGGTTACCAATGAAATGAAATTGGTTTCACTGAAAAGGGCTTCGTTCCAACTCTGAAACATGCATCATTTTGTTAGGTCAAATACCAAACTTATGTATAGAAGAAAAGCTCTGTGTGTGAGATGGCCCACTTCAACTTCAGTCCTAACCCTTGGAATTTCAACATTTACCCATCCATCTCTTTGGATAGTTTGTAAGAACGCTCCAAAGCAGAACTGGTTATTTTCAAACAGGAAAAACAATCCTCACTAAACACTTGCACAAATTCAGAGTTTCCTGGTAAACTATCAGGATAAGAGGACACAGCTTTTCACTTTTAAATGCTTCTAAATCTCCTTTGCTCCCAGACAGTAAATAGAACTGTTGCAACAGGAAGCTGGGAGAAGAGGGTCCAAAATGTCTGTCACAATTAGGCAGAGAGGGTTTTTTGAAAAGCAACTAAAGCTTTTCCTCTGATTACTTATTTTCATTCATGTTATTTTCATGTCACTAGTTTTCCAGCACAGAGCCCTTCTGAACTCCATAAAATCTTAGTTTAACGTCTGATTTTCTCCTTATTTGGGTGGAACATGAACTTGATGACCCCCACACTCCACAGGGATCTTGTCCAGGATTTTTGGGTAACATCCAAGTTGTTTTAAGAAAGGGTAGGTGATACTAGTTGGGACTGATAACTGTGGTCTCTACCATACCTGGCAAGCACCCTGCATTAACATTTGGAGGGTAAATGATGAGGTTTAGGAAGAGAAGGAAAGAGAAGGAAAGAGAAGTTCCATCTCATTTTTGCTTACCTTGACCACCTTATATTCACATTGTTGCCAGTCACTGTACAATGAAGCTGAGCAGTCCCTCCCTCAGGTACCGTGATGCTTGGCAGAAGACCAGTGATCCTCAACTCTCCTGGACCAGAAGGGAAATCATCACTAGCAGGGGGACAATGCCACCCTCTCCCTGGGAGTAGGAGCATTCCCTCATGGGAAAAGTCCAACACATCCCATAATGAGCTACAAGCCCCTGGGCCTTGAAACAGCATGTTTGAGGCTGTGCTGTTGTTGCTCTGGGGAATGTGGATTTCCTAGGACTTTGGCCCAAGAAAGGACAAGTAACAGAGGTCTCAAAGCTGGACACATGCATGCACATACACAGAAGAACCATCTCTTTAGTTTCTCTTGCTCTTATCCCACACCAGTGTCCCAGAAACAAGGCCCTGAGAGTCACTCTTACTGTGCTGTCAATCCCCTTTTCCCAGCTGCCTGGAGCACTGGACACATGCAGATGACCGCTGGGTAAAACAACTCATTCTTCCCTTGCCCTCAGGATGCCTGGCAAACTCTAGGTGTGAAGCAAAGAGGCACAGCCAGCAATGGAACCCACGCTGGCCCTGCACAGGACCCTGTTTCCCCCTCCTGTGCCCATGAGCTGGGTGTGCTGCTATCCACCCCATACCTAGAGGCCGGAGCAGGACCTGGCGCTGGTCGCGGTCACGTCCATTGGAGGCAAGGCAGGTGAAGAAGCCAATGTCCTCAGAGCTGACCCTGCTGATCAGCAGGGCCCCATCCGACTGCTGCCTGTGCCTGGGGAACAAAGCCAGCGTGTCCCTCAGCCTGTGCTTGGGTCAGGATGGCACTCCTGGGAGCCAGCAGAGGTGAAGCTAAGCCTCGTGTACAACTTTGTAGTACCACTGAGCAAAGACTTAGCAGCTCAGATGCTGCAGGGGTTGTAATGCAACCCTTAGTCCTCAAATCCCAGCACTGATGCTGTAACAGTCTGGAAAAACTTGCTGCTAGAGCAGATTTCTGGGAGCAGAGAGAGGGGAGAGCAGCTGTAGAAGTAGCTGTGGAAGTTCACTGAAGATGCTCTGATGTCTCTCTGCTGAGAACCTCTGCCCTTGCTCACTGACCAGCTGGTTTTTGGCAAATTTGCTAGCCATGTGTTCTTTTTCTTGTAACTGAATAAATTTGAACCCTGGTTCACTCATAGACCCTGTGTCACAGCTGTTCCCTCAAGGGTTCAACATTCAAACTTCCATCTGGGAGGGAGGGAGGACAGGACAGGCCAGCAGTATGGCCTGGCCCTGATGGAGGAGGCTGGACAGCATAAAGCCAGACAGGCCCTCACTGCATGGCCAACAGCTCTGTTCTCTCAGAGAGGAGACAGGGAAGGAAAAGCAAGGAGGAGGCTCTTCTCATGAACAGTTAGAACCACCTGGGAGCTCACCTGGGAGAGGAGAGGGGCTGCCCATCTTTCTGCCACTCAATGGTGAGAGCTGGTGACGCTTCCACTGTGCAGGGAAGTCTGACTCTCTCGCCCACATTGGCCTCCACTACTGTGGGCTCGCTCTTATCCATTTTCAACCTGCAAAGTTCACAAGCACAGCAAAAGAGGTAGAAACTTCCTTGCTCAGCATTTGACCTTCAGCACAAGGCTTTATGAATCATAGGCCTTATTTTTTGCCTCCAATGGCAAAGGGAGGCCTCTACTCCCATGAGAGCTCTGATGCTTGCCATTACCAATATTCACTTCCAACATTCAGAAAAGAGCAACCTCTATAAAATCCTGCTCTAGTTCAGCACAGCATGGTGCTGCGTTCCTGTCAGCCAGCTTAATTTACAGACAGCAACCCTTATAACAACTCTGTGGATAACAGCTGAAGATGCATTAACAATGTGAACACATGGCAAACAGTACAAAGTCCTAAAGAGGGCACTGAGCAAGATTCCCCTTAGGTGCTTCTCTGGCATGCAAAAAATGAGCCTTTTTAGGGTGTGAAGAGCCTATTGCAATAACCTGACTGCACCAGGTCCAGGAGCTGCTCGTCCACTTCATGCAGCAGAAAGGTTGAGGTCATGTCCTCACATCACTCATCTCATGTTCTTTGCTCTCTTATAACTACAGCTAAACACTGTCTTAGAAGGGAACTAAACCATGTGTTCCCACAGTTAAACAAAACGTCATCTACCCTACCCCCATTCCGTGACCTGAATTCTTGATCTCAAAAAATAAAACCAAAGAGCCTTAATTCAATGAATCACTTATTACTGCCTTCAGCAGAAGCAGCTAAGGAGATTGCTGCAGAGTTCAGCAAATTGGCTGGGTTTTAGGCTGTAAATTCAAAAAAAGAGAGAGATCAGATCATGGCCCTATTTAATCTGGAATCCCAACATGGTTCATTTAAAGCAAAAATAATTTGTCCCCCTTTATTTCTGTGGGGCCTAGAAGCAATAAAAAACTATGCAAGAAGCAACAAAAATACCAGTATATGATGAGACAGTTTTGGCTCAAACTGGTTTGTTCTCAAAACATTTTAAATTAGTTAGTGGAGGCTGGAGGAGCTGAAGTTTTCTTCAATGCACATATGTCTATTTTGTGCTAGTTAAGCAGCTCCTATTTGCTTTGCTTTTTTTCAGAACAGGTTTCTCTTTCTGCCTGCACTAACACGAACAGCTAAGAATGCTGCCTCAAGACTTCTTTTGTTTGAGCCCAGCTGCTTTGCTGCCAGCTTCCCTGTGCATCTTTGCTCAGAGCATGCTTCTTTCAAGAGATCCTTGGGGAGGACAGAAGACAGCTTGCGACTGGGATCTTCTCCCGTTCCCGTTGTCAGCAGTTCAGTACAGCAAGCTTCCCAACTGTGCCCTGGAACAGTTGACCCAGGACCTTTCCAGTCTTTGGCTTTTCTACATGAAGAGATGCCATATGGTTCATCACCTGGGCTCCATGGACAAACTGTTGCTGTAGGTGAACGTACCTGTATATGAGCTGCTGAGGCATGGAGGAGCCAGCTGCCTGCCCAAGCTGCCTGCCTCTGGATAATGCTCGGCGCTGCTGATCTGCCTCCTGAAGGACCTGGCCTCTCTCACCCTCGGCCACAACACTGCTCTTGTACTCTATTCAAAACAAAATGCCATATGTGAATAAAAGGACACTTCTTACTGTGACCTATTGCATAGGGTTTCTGTGAGCCTGGGAGAGCTTGCTGAACCAGAGCCAAAGAGCCCTTCAGCCATCTGCTTTTTGGCTGACTAGTGCAGTAAACCTGCGCTGTCTACTAATGAGACTCATAGACCTGCAGGCAAGCAATTTTAGACTCCTTTTCCTCCTCTGTCCGTGAACATGTTGCAACATCCCTTAGGCCACAGTGCCTTCTGCCCCATGTGCCATTGCTGTGACAAAGCACACTTCAGAGATTGAAGGCTACAGGGTGCCTTTCTGGCCCATCTTTTGAGATTAGTCTTTCATTTTGTTGGTTTTGTTTCTGAAATAAGGCACATTTTTCGGAACAGGAAATTATTTGTTACCCAGCAGGACCTGTTTGGGCAAAACACAAAACATAAAAATGCACCAGCAGTTCTGTTTTGGATCAGGAGGCAGCTGATGGCTCTCAGGGAGGAAGACATACTTGCCGTGATAGAAACGGGGGGGGTTACAGGCAAGACACAACTCCATTAATGGGGTGACACTGCAGGGGAGAAAGTATTTTAGGGCTAAGGCTTGATCATGAGGTAACACCAAAAGAGGCCCTGCTGCCTCCACACTCCCTCTTGGCAGCAAAGGAAGTTTCCTCCTCCAGCTGGCTTTATTGAGCCTGTGCTCAGTAACCATTAATGAGGAGACCTGAGTAGAAGATAATTCACCTGTTATCTGCAGCTGAATCTGTCGGCTCTCCGTCCTCCTCCCGTCAGAAGTGAGGCACGTGTAGGTGCCAGCGTCCTCGGGCCCGACGTGGCTGATCACCAGGGAGCTGTCGGACTGGTAGGTGTGCCTGCAACACGGGGGGAGCGCTGCTGCCTGCCCGGGCACCCACAGCAACCCGCCAGGGCACAGCGGCCAGCCCGGGCTGGTGTTACACAAACCATCCCCATGTGGGGCCCTCCCTGGCTCAGAAAAAAACAAAACCCTGCTGACCACAGACGGGTCACAGGCAGGGGGAAAAACTGCAGCAGAAAGGAGGTCAGGAACAGAGAGGAAAACTGAGACGGAAAACAGGGAACTGCTTTCAGTAACTCTCCCATAAGGAGGCAAACTGCCCTTCCAGGGGGGAGATTGAGTCCCAGCAGTCAACTGCAAACAGAAAAGCATAACTGTGATTTTCATAACACAAAAGGACTGACTGGCTCCAGACAGACTTGCTGGAAACAGACTTCCCAGGAAAAACAGGTTTAAAGTAGTTTAAAAAACAATTGTGCTAGAGATTTTCAGCCAGAGGAACTCTGGGTTATTAGGCTGCAAGTTTCACCCCCAACTACTGGCTTTGTGCTGCCCCAAGATGAACCCAAGAGAAGCAATATTTTTCTGCATCATTACCCATGTCAGCTTCCACCAGTGTTATGGGACAGCATAACACTTGCTCTGCCCCATAATTCTAGCCAACACCTCATTATGGTGCAGACCGTACCTGTTTCTGCTATGCACAGAGCAGGTGGACAGTAGATGAATATGGGGGTTTCTTTATTTCTTAAAAAAAAAAAGTGTGCTGGTTGTGGCTGGTGTAGTGTTAATATTTTTCACACTAGCTGGTATGTGGCTGTGCTTTGGATTTGTGCTGAAAACAGTGTTGATATTTTCACTACTGCTGAGAAGTGTTTACACCAAGTCAAGGCCTTTTCTGCTTCTCACCCCACCCACTAGCGAGCTGCAGGTGCACAAGAAGCTGGAGGGGACACAGCTGGGACAGCTGACCCTGACAGACCACAGGGATATTCCATACCATATGGCATCATGCTCAGCATGTAAAACTGGGAAAGGAAGAGGAGCAGGGGGGAGTTTGGAGTGATGGCATTTGTCTTCCCAAGTCATTGTTACGTGTGATGGGGCCCTGCTCTTCTGGAGACAGCTGAACACCTGCCTGCCCATGGGAAGTGATGAATGAATCCCTTGTTTTGTTTTGCTTGCATCCACGGCTTTTGTTTTAGCTTTTCAACTGTCTTTATCTCAGTCCCTGGATTTTCTCAGTTTTACCCTTCTGATTCTCTCTCCCATCCCATCAGGGGTGAGTGAGCAGCTCTGTGGGGGCTGAGTTGCCAGCTGGGGTGAAACCACGACAGTCTTTTTTGGACTGCATATTTGGCACTCTGCCCAGCAAGGAGCCCATCTGCTCTACAATGAAGGGATCTGAGCTCACCTGTCAGAGGAGATGGGTCGGCTGTTCTTCATCCACTCCACTCTGGAGAGTGGGGACACGCCTGTCTTGCAGAGCAGCTGGATGTTTTGTCCCACAACTGCTGTCACAAGATGGGGCTTGCCTTCCTCCAGGATTGTTCTGAAAGAGAAAGTGATTCCATTGGCACTTCTGCTGCCCTCCTCACCTCTGTGTCCTCTCATGTGACTCTGGATGAGTTACAACCACAAGGCAAAGCAGGACCAGCTGCCAATTCAGCTTTGAGCAGATGCACTGGGCAGCATGGGGAGCCCTCTCCTGTACAGCAAAGGCTGCTGTGGACAGAGTGAATGCTACAATATCTCCTGGAAGAAAGCCCTGTAACCCCTCTCTTCTGAACGAACAAGGCATAGCTCAGCTGACAGATAGATCCAGTGCAGATATGTTTAGATCTAGCTCTACACACTCCTGATTTTCAGGGTAACATTGTCTGGATCTTGACCCAAAGTCTGCATCTTACAAGTCTTCCCTAGAACAACCCACTGCTGCTCCATGCAGTGCTGAGATAAAGGCTCTGAAGTCAGAGTGACAGCTAAATTTGTTGGTCAGAACAAGAACAACACCTATGGATTCTCATTTATAGTGTTAGAAGGCCTCCCAGACAGAGACCTCAGGATTCTGCAGTCTTTTCATACATGATACTTCAGTTCTGTCAGAAACCAGGGAGTATATGAGGAAAGAGACCGCAGGTAATGCCAGGGCCTGAATACCAGTAACTTCATTAACCAAGGGGCCACATGTGTAGCTAATCCATCACACGGTATCCCCAGTTAGCTAGTCCCAGCTGAGGCAACATTTTCACTCCAGAGAAAGTTCCACTGATGCTTCATAATGAGCTGGCAGAACAGGGGGGAGGGATAGACGGAAATCATCACCTGTGCAGAGCCTGTGCTGGGAACAGGTCTGCAGACTCCTGGTGCCCAAATCCCTCTGTCACAGAAACATCTGCTCCGAAAGCTTCACGCCACTGCTTGCCTTCCCGGGATAGGCCCTGCTGGCCACTGCTGCTCTGCCTATCCGAGGACCCAGGCAGGGCTGTGTCCCAGGAGCGCAGCTGGCCCAGCCTATCCAGTCTGCTTCTCTGGCTATCCAGCACCCCAGTCCTTGGCAAGGCCTCTGGCAGCATGTCCCTCCTCCAGCTGCGGCTGTCTTGCCTGGGGAGTGAAGCCCCATAGGTTCTTCCTTCTTGGCTGTGACTTGCAGTCTCTCTTGTGGGTGACTGCTGCTGACCCTGAGCACGTCCTATGTGAGAACTGGAGGCAGTCTGCTGGTGTTGCAGGGCTTCTGTGCCAGAAGAGGGCTGGAGCTCCAGATGGCTGGCCCCCACAGAGCTGTGGCACGCTCTCATGCACTCCTCCTCCGAGGCAAAGCTGTTTTTATTACCATGACAGCCACCATACCAAAACCGGTTGCACTTGCCAACGACTCCCACAAAGTACCAGCGAGTGGTCCAGTTGGTGCAGGGGCCGTGGGCACTGGGCAGCAGGCACATGACAGGGTATGCTACCAAAAAGAGTGGAACAGAGGGAGATGTGAGGGTCACAAAGCACAAAGGTCCAGGGGCTTCACGCCACCACCTAGATGAGTTATCTGATGGCCCTGTGGGCAAAGGGCAGGTGGGAAAGTAGGATACCTAGGTGTCCTACCCAGCTGTGCTTTGAAACTGAGAAACTGCTCACATGTTTCTTTTTGCCTCAGTTTTGCCTCTGATGGAAGAACCATTCTCAGAGACATTTCTGAATCTAGATACTAGACAGATGCTTTACAGCCTTGCTTGGAGAATTCTGCAACTGCAAAGCAGGCTCTGGAGCTTCCTTTCCTGCAAGGGACACATGGCTGCCACTTGTACATTTCCAGCTCACAAAGCAAGTGGCTTAGACCCAGCTGTGAAGAAGACTCATGCATTACAGAATACCCCTGCACACTGATATAAAGAGGAGCGTGGCCCAAGGTGTTTACAAACCCAGAGCCACGGGTATCAGCCACATGCTGACAAACACTGGATGCAGAGCTCTGGCTGCAAGGTGCTTTGTCAAGCTGTGGCTCAGCTGAGAGAATCCAGAGAGTTTTCCCCTTCCCCAAGGCTGCACCACAGGGACAGCCACTGAGCAATCTCTGTGCTGCAGCAGGAGGGCAAGGCCCTGCAGCAGCAATGTGCCTGCAGAGGGTACAGCTGGGCACTAAAGGAGCAAAGATGCTTTTGCCCACCAGCCCTAGTGTCCTCATAGCACAGCAGGCACTTGATTGAACTTTGCTGGCTAAGGGCATCCATGCAGCCCTAAGCAATCCCTCCTTCCCCATGTAGTTCTCATTTCTCCCCTGTCCACAGGCTGTCTGAAGACCGAGTACTATCCTGATTCCACAGGAGATCCCTACTTTGACCTGGGTAATTAGTTCAGAGCACTCCAGGCTGCATCAAAGTGTCTTCTCAGGGACAAACAACTCCTGAGTAGTCCTACAGACTGACGAAGATCACACAAACACACTTCTGTCCATCAGCAGAGGACAACAATAATTTTTGTGGCAACTGGTAGAACTGAATCCTCAAGCTGCTTTTCTACACTCCAAGCTTCTGCTGCCCCAACTACCAGGTAGAGATTCTCTTCAGAGAGATTATTTACTACATTTTACAGAGAGCAGACACAGGAAACTTCTATATGCTACTGGACTCTTTTTGTGTATCTAAACCAATAAGGCAAAGCATCACTTACAGTAGTTGGGCCTATTGAGACATCCTTCCCCTTGAGGACCTTTGGCTGAGGCGACGTTGTCAAAACAGCAGCCGTACATGGAGCCGCGGCACTCGCCCGAGGGCTGCTGCTGGGACAAGGCTTGGCTTGCCTTGGGGACAGGAATGGAAAGCCAAGAGTTATCCTCACGCATGAGGACAGCAGCACATGCAAAGCACGGTGTGCAAGCTGTCAGCTGCACACAGCCAGCTGCTAGAGGCACCACTGTTTGCTTGTTTGCCTCCTAGAGGCTTTTGTCCTGGGAAGGGGTGGGAAACTTGGCTGTCAGCCATGGAGCCAGGGCTGCACTACTCTGCAAGGCACAGCTAAGCAGCCCAGCAGCAGGCCAGTTCTTATTGCTGCCACCAACATGCACCCCAAACTATAGGAGGGATCACCTCCCCACCTTGAATTAATCTGCAGAGTTGACAAACAAAAGCAATTAATAGGAGCCATGCTTTTCCCTTTTTTTTCCCCTAGAAACTGGATAGCAATCTTCTGACCAACAGAAATTTAATTACTCAGGATTATTCAATTAGGTCTACATAGGATGGCTTTCTACTTCTCAGACATCTCCCCACCACCTGCTCTGTGCCCTGCTTGTAGAGGATTGCAGGTGAACACTCCAGACTGAGCAGGAGCAAGGTGGGCCAAAGGGCTTGATGCCATGCCTCAAGTATTGGTTCCTCAGCATTACTGGTGGAGATGAAGCCCAATAGAATCTACAATGTGAGTCGGCAGGGTCAAATCTGATTCTTTGTATCTGATCTTCTCCTAAAAAGCAAAAAGCTCTTGTACTTACTGCTGGAGTGGTTGTAGTGGGATGATTTTGTCTCATTTGAATATCATGGTAATATTGTGGGCATCCAGTGTTGTTTGGACCCTGGGCAGCTGATACTCCATCAGGGCAGCAGCCATACCTGCAGACAGAAGGGCTGCAGTGACACCTGACCTGCCTGGTCAACAGACATGGGCTACAAGATTCAGGAAGGGCATTGCCAGGAAAGGCAATGCCTCCCTGCTCAGGCCTATCTACTACCAGCTACCTGTTTTGGTGGCAGGTGCTGAAAGGGCAACCTCTCCCGAGAGGGCCTGATGCCAGAGTGCGCCCATCTGGACAGCAGCCATGTGGGCTCTGGTGGCAGTCCTGGGAGCCAGTCCCTGCAGGGGGGTCCTGAGAGAAGCTGAGCTGATGGGAACCTGGGGAGCGGGACTGGGGCTCCCAGTGCACAGCAAACAAGTTGATGCCCTGGTCTTTGGTGGATGGAATGTGCTGGTTCCCTGAGGCACTATGGGTCATGGTGTTCCCAGGGTGCATTCTTGCATCATCAGAATCTGGGGAGAGAACTCAAGGTATGAAGGTGAGCATGAAAATCTGGCCAGCTTTCCTCCTCTCTGCTCTCTTTTACCTGCCCAAGGCTACCTGGCAGGATTTTCTGAATCACATCTAGGGGTGTCATCTGGCCCACCCTTCTCATCTGGCTGAGGTACTTTGCTCATTGCCTTGACCATTCTTCCTGCTGTTCCGTGAGAAACCACATTGCTGTGGTCCCTTCACATCATCCTTTCTTGTTCCTATGATCTGCTTTGGGCATAATTTCTTCCAGCCAGCACTTAAGTCATGCTGACAGAACCTGGGATCCATCTCCTGTACAGAGTCTTCTGCATGGATAGATTCAAATACTGCTCACTGTTGGTGTAAAGGATCTACATTTTGTCCCTGGCTCCTTGAGTTTATAGGAACCCATGAAAAAAAATGAGAGAAATGAAGAAAAGAATGATCCCAGTCCCTATCACAGCCTATTCCAAGTATCCCATCATCAACCCCCAAAAAAAGAATTCTTCCAAACCTGAGGCAGGGCTGTTTGGATTGTAACGTGTCAGCAAGGACTGGCGAGTGACATTGTATCCCATAGTGTCCTGCATGCTGGGGACCTCTGCAAAGAGACACATACACAAAATGGGTGCAGTTAGTCCAGCACTGTGCTCTAATAATTGCAAATACATCTAGCAGTCAGCAGGAGACAACAGTTGATGAAAATGTTCCTGTTCCTCTTGTGCAATAGCTGCTGAGCAGCAATTGGATTCGATTGGATTGTCAGGACAAGCGACCTACAACAGGCAGGCAAAAGTCAGCCTTGCGGCTCTGACATGGGGAATAGACACAGACAAGAAGCAAAATGTTCTGAAAAGTTATGACTCCTTTAGAGCCAGTCCACAGAGGGATGAGAGTTGGCTATAGTTTTTGCTACTGAGCCTGCCCAAGCTATCATCCTTCTGGACTGGGGTGTCTGGGATCCATCTGCAGCACACACACACTGGATCATAGAACACTCGATTCAAAACGGACACACACCAGTGTTGTTCCCAAGCCTGTTGCATATATTTCAAACAGCACAGGTACTGGGACTCTAAAGATGCTTTGTGCACATAACCTAGGCAAAATCACAGGATGGAGATAGCCAGGCAAAAAGCTGAGAACATAAGCTGGTGCAGAGCTGGGAGTTTCTACTCCTAAGCAAAAGCATGTTGGGAAAAGCTGGGTGTGCAGCAATACCACTCACGCTGTGGCAGGTAGCAGGGCTGTGTGTTGCAGCTGCCCAGGGTGGCTGGTTTTTGTGGCTGGATGGCTCTGCATGTCTCAGCACTGTAGACTTTGGAGTCGCCGTCAGCACAGATGACCTGGCGTGTCCGGATGCCTGAATCGCAGCTCTTGGAACACTTGGGCACAGAGACAAGGCACTGAGCAGTCAGCAAAGGCTGAATGCAGAAACCCCACAGATCAGAAGTGGGGAACAGCTGCATGATTAGCTGCAGGCTGGGCACAACTTCCTCCACCAAGACAAAGCAAATAATATTTCAGCTGGAATCATCTGAACAATTAGAAAACCATACTTAAAACCATTTTACCAGATGTTCCACCCAGCCCCGAAGCATTAGGCTCTGTGCCACACTCAGCCTGTAACATCCAGATGAGCTGCTGTCACCCACAGCGGTGTTTCAGGGAGTAGGAGAGAATCATTTCAGCCTGAAGGCAGAAAGGCACCTCAATTCTCTGGGGATCCACCAGCTGTGGGTGGGTCAGTTTGCATTCAAGAACAACAAATTACAACTGGAAAGCGAATGAGGGGCTTTCTTGTAAGCAGCTAACTGGAGTTTGCCTTACTGGAAGCTGTGGATGAGAGGGACCAGAGGCTCAGAGGAGGGGATAGGATGAGGTGTCTGTGCAACCCACACGGCTCATGGCAAGTTCTATAAACATTTGGAGAGTATTTCCCTCTAATTCAGAGAGGCAGATAGGAGACCTTCTGATATCAGAAAGTCAGGAGAAAGATCAGATTAAGATATGAAACTTCTTTAGCTGTAACTAAAACTTGGCCGACATCTCATGAAGAAGCATATGTAACATGTTTTAGCCCAGAACAAGCTGGTCTGACAAGCACAGAAGTGAAAAAGTGTGTTTGAAAGTTACCTGATGCAATTGATATACCCATATCTCTATCCCCTGACACTTTTCCCAGGTTGAAGACAGTCTGGCTTCCATCACAAAGACAAGATTAAAGTACATTTTTTAAAATTATTCAGATAAACTGTGCTTCAGATAGATTAAAGCATATCACAAAGTGCAATTACCAGTTCTGAAGCCTACAGCTCTGAGCCAAACTTGGGTTAAGAGCTGTTTTGCTGATCACAGCGATGGAGCAAAGAATTGAGAATAAGCAGCAAGAGTGGATTGTTTCAGCTTATTGGCTGCATTTTGCCACTGTCACTGAAACGATAATCTCCCCTCAGAAGGATTTATTTTTGTAGCAGCTGCACACAAAGCGGGCATCAGATTAACTGGAGCATTACTAGTGCCAGTTACAACACAACTGTGAGCCAAGAGGCTGGTAATGAAGCAGTCCTTGCTCTCAGCCTCAGTCTATGTGCAGACTGCATGGATCAAAGCTTGTTTGTGAGGAGCACAGCAATACAATTGGTAATTTTGGAGCCATGACAGCGAGGTGCTCACCAGACCCCAGTCTCCAACGTGCCAGCCGATTTCCTGGATGCAGTTTTTCTTAAGGCAGGGCCGGGTGGCCGATGGCTTTGGCTCCATTAGACAAGCGAAGTCCTGAGCCTGGGAGCCCTGCTGTGTCCTGCAGGTGACAGTCCGGGTTTGCACTCCTTCCCCACAGCTGGCTGAGCACTGCAGAAAGGGACCCAACAATTACAAAGAAGCACCTGGTTTCCTCTTGCAGGCTGGGCTCCCTATCATTAGAGCAGAGCACCATTTTGAGACTGCCTGGAACAACCAGCTATCATTAAAATAATTTTCTGGGGTGGGATTTAGCAGAGTAGCTGTTTATGCTGCAGAGTAGAAAATAAGGCATGGGAGCATGGGATAGGGTCTGGAAGATCTGGAGCTCACTGGATGATTTTGGCCTATTCATATACTTACTCTTGATGTCTCCCCAAAGGAGATGTGGAGAATGAATTTAGAAAAATATCAGAAAAAAGCCAGACACTGCAAAATATATTGAGAACAAGGCATGGTAGAAAATACCTGTAAACTCATGTTATTTACATCTGATTAAAATCAATGCAAGGTAAAGAATTTTAGGGAAAGTAAACGGTTAGGTTCTTATATTACTCATGTCTTTTGTTTGAAGACTTGTGTTCTATTTTTACAGCGTGGAGCTGTGACAACTTCTATACCAGTAACTAGTTTGTGACATTTTCAACACCCTCTTAAATTCACGGTGGTGTTTCCTGGAATCCAACCTACTTCTACGTGAATTACCAAGGTGTCTTACAGAGAGCATTAACTTGGGGACAGTCTGAATCACTTCAGATGAGCTTCCCAGCTGAGCTTCAGCCATTCATTTACCGGAGTAACCTTTTAACTCAGAGTACACAAAACACAGTTGCTTCTGAGAACACTGGAATGAATTACTCAGGCATCAGTTTGTAAGAACATGACCCTTGGTGCCTTCCCCAAACAGCACTCTTACTCCACAACCCCAAAGTTCACAACTCACATCTCACAAGGTGGGGGGAAAGAGTGGGTGGAAGGACTCTCCAGTCTGGGTGATCATGCCTCAAAGTTGCATTTTGTGCTGTTGCACAACTCAGGCTAAGTGCAACCACAACATTGCAAATCAAGTGTTGCAAGCATGTGTGCACTTCTTCTAATAGAGGAAAATTCACTTGTACTTTAGGGACTGAGTAGACATTCTCTTTACTTTCTAAGTCCTTGGAATGTAAGATGCCTTCTAAAAGCTTTCTGGCTGAACTGAGTGTGTACAGTTTGAGCTGTTTCCACTCCTGCAGATATAAATGCACACAAGCATCAAAAATGCACCACATGGCTGTGTTTGGAGAAGCCCTGTGCAGACATACAGCAAACAGCAGGTCACCAGTATTTCAAGAGTTTTGCTGTCCTGGCTGGTGATGCAAGGTAGCAAAATACATGGAAATAACTAGCACAGGCAGAAGCCATGAGCTCCTGTTTCACAGAGGAGGGTGTGCTACTGCCTGTCCTCAGCTGATGAACAGAGGCTCTCCTGCCAGTGCTCCGACTTCACCAGGCCTGGCTCAGAAACCAAGTCAGTGCCAGGTGGGGGGGGTCTGATAAAAACACAGATGTGGAGAAAGGATTGGCAGACCAGGGAAGAGTGGACATGCAGTGAGAAGAGCAGAGGTGCAGGGACATGCACAGCTTTGAGGAACAGGGATATGTTCATAGGAGGGCATCGGAGGGCTGCAGGGAGAAGTTCTACACCTCTGCACGCCTCCTATCCAGGACACGTGCTTTTTGTAGTCCCAGAAGAGGAGCCTGGCTCTTTCTCCCTAAGCTTTGACAGATGCTCCTCCTGGAGGTGCCAGGAGGCCGTTGTCTGCCCAGGGGCACTGACCTGGGACCAGGGCCCCGTGCTCCAGGTGGCACACTGCCGGAGGTTGCAGGGCTGGCTGCGGCGCGGCTGCTGGGTGAAGGCCATGCACTCGGTGTCATCCACCACCCCCTGCGGGCTCTGCCCGTCAAACGCCACGCAGTACACCGAGCGGGTCTGGGTGCCCCTGCCACAGGTGGCTGAGCAGGGTCCCCACTCCCCCGTTTTCCACCTGCAAGTCACAGAATCAAGCACAAAAAAAAAAAAAGTAAGCCAAACTGCTTGGAGGCACAGAGGAGTCAGTGCCACATCCCTGTAGAAATCAAAAGAGATGGTGTCCCTTTGCAGAATAGAATCAGAGGTGAGTTCCCATTTGACCAAGCGTGCCCAGCTTAATTGGCAATGCAGAGCGCATTAGTCCTACTCCAGAGATATATCTCCAACTAAAAAACACTTGTTTCTCTGGAAATGCAAAGCCCCTCCAGAAGGGGAAGATCCCTCTCCATGGCTTTTGGTCTCCTGATGTCTGTAAAAATGTCATGCCTGGAACAGAACATCAGAAAAAAAAAAAAAAAAAGGAAAGAAAAAGCTCAAAGAAAACAATCCAGATCAGAAAAAAAAAGAAAAAAACCCAAAAAAAACCCAAAAAAACAACAAAACAAAACAAAAAAAAAACCTGCCACAAGAGCCTAATCCACACATTACACTCCAGATATTATCAGAAACAGTAAAACCAAGCCAAGTCCTCATTCTGCCCACAAACCATGCCAGGCACTCTCAGAAGTGCTTAACTTTTCACTGACGGCCAGTAGAGAGCTGGTTTATTCCTCCCATCAGTCAAATTCTCTAACTGCAGCACACATACAAAAAACCCACAAAAATGTAAATAGATCTTTTCCTGACTTTTGTTGCTGAAGCTGCTGCAGAAATGATACACCCTTGCTAAGTAGGGGAATGTATCCACAAAACAATCTGTCTAGATACTAAAATCTCTGCCCTTGGCCACCCCAGCTTCTCAGAACTAGCTGGGTAGCTCAAACCACACCTTGCATGGCCTGGCTTCAGGGACAATATAATGTTTCATCCCCAAATGCAGCATGCAACCAAAGGAACTGGTTGTGGAGGGGGAGCATCATGGTGATCTGCTTGCCATCTGCTATGTACCCTTTCAGCCAGGTAAGGCCCAGCCAGTGAATGAAAACAGTTCATGTTTTCTCTCCCAGCATTCCAGCTACTTCCCTAGCCTGGCTCTTCCCACTCCTTAGCCATTTACAGTGGTGTGGTTGCAGGGCTTATAACAAATTATTAATCAAGTTTTTTCAAAAGCTCCAAAGGGAATAACTCCCCCCCCCCCCCCCCCCCCCCATACTCTATTCTGCCTCCTGTAAAGCAAATGTAATGTTTTGGAAAGGCTATATCAACCAGATGGGATCACTTAGAGCTTCCTTCAGTTGTGGATCAAGACTTCTCTGACCCTTGGTTCATTTCCTTTGTAAGACAAGGTCAGCCATAAGGCTGGGACCCTCATCAGAGGGCAAAAATTGCCAGTCCTAAGCTTTTAGCAGCTTGCTGGGGGACAATTGTTTTGCTTTTGATACTTTTAACTTCTCATATCTTAGTGTACGTTATTGTATCTCTCACATCTTACATGCTGTTTTATGCCTGCTATAGGGCCCATGCCAAAAAGAAGAGCTTTTAAGAAACTCCAAATCTTTCTCTATGCCATGCTGGCCAATGTTACAATTGCCCAAACAATCATGCTCTCTTTTCTTTTATGTTCTTTTCTTTATCTTGATAAGTAAATTAAAAAAACCAATCTTCCAGAACTTCTTTACCCTGATTCCAGAGAAAACATGAGAATAAGCAGCCAGAAGCTATGAAGAAATCATCCCTTTCTCAATCTCTAAGAATCAAGTTACCAGAGGCACGTGCAGCCACCTAAGCAAAGCTGCCAGCCAGCACCCTCCACCGCCATTTTCACTGGCAAGCATCAAAAGCAAAGCAACACCCACTTCTACCACCTGTGCCAAAGAGGAAAGCCCCCATGATTTCAGCGAACAACTAGGTGGAGAGCAGAAGAGAGCAGCTGCCTTCCTGTGCTTTCTGTAACTTCCTTCTGCTTGTTACCTCTTCATCTGAGAGCTCCGTGCACTGCTGTGACTCCAGGCTTGTGGCAGGTAGATGTAAGAAGTCCTTTATGTACAGAACAAAGGTTTTAAAGAACTTAAAACAAGTAGCTACAGGCTAACACGTATTCAGAAATGTTCCCAGGTGCCCTCTCACACACAAGTGCTCTCAGAGGCCTCCACTGGTACACAGACACACGGAGCTAATGCTCAGGTTACAGCCCTGTATGTCCATAAGAGCCAAGTCAAGCCAGCTGTAAGGATCAAGGTGGAAATGGCTGGGTGAAGGGGTTTGAATATGCTGGAGAATGAAAAGACTCCAGGATTCATCCCTTTCTAAAGGAACACACTGGGAATGCAGAAATGACATAAAATGACACCAACTCAGACCTTCTACTCTGTAGGCTCCAGCTCAGGAGAAGAAAAATGAGAGAATCTGTTTCATATCTCCTACATGGGCTAGGCAACTGTCTTCCACAATGCTATTTTGGAAGGCAAATTTAATTGGTCAATAAAATGAACACAGGATGTATTAAGCCCTTTCCTTGTGCACACACAAATGTCCTCCCTCATCACTGTGTTATCATCCCATTCTTTTGTCTTTGGTTTTCTCTTAGAAGTGAAGCACCTCCTTGCAGAGAACCATGCTGGAGGGCAGATGTGAGAGGGTCACTTTTTTCTCAGTTCCAAAAGCACTTCAGGAAGAAGTCAGACCCCAGAAGAAGGAAAGAAATCGCACCGTTTTGTCTGGGGACAAGGCTGATGGCCACACGTCCGGTTGTTGTCTGGTTGTGGCTTATTCCTGCACATATAGTCTGGATAAATTTCATTGTCTATGGTACAAAACACCAAGCGGGACTGGAAACCTGGGGGACAAGCAAGAGAGTATCTGATCAACACAAGCCACCCAGCAGTAAGTTAGCAATACACCGGGGTTGGCAAGACAAGTTTCTTGTCTGTCAAGAAGTTGTGTAGAATCCACACCTGTCCCAACCATTCCGGAAAAGAGACAGGGGCAGGTCTCTGTCTCTCACTACATGGACAAATGATGCCTTCCCACAGTATAGGAGTCTGCTGGAAAAGCAAGGGAGACAGTACAGTTCTGTGTAGCTGAGGGGAACTTTCCTGTTATGTTATGGATTGAGACTCACGAGGGGAGTGCCCTACTCGTAAGTTGCTCATGAAGGAGCCCTGCAAGATTTGTGCAGTGTACAGCAGAACTGGGGGTCTCCTGTTAGACTCAAAAGGTCAGTCTTGTGAGGACTGGATATGGGAGTAAAACTTGCAACTCTTCCTGCTTCCTACAGGTTATGAGTGCCCAGCCAAAGACAATTTTAGCACCTACCATCACAATATGGCAAAAGTTGCAAAATGGCCATTAGGATGGAAGCCCAGAAGAGGCTGATAAGAGCTCTATATACTAATCAGTTGGTGAGGGTTTTTTTGTTTGAGTGACTGAAGTTTTTTGGTTTGTTTTTCTTTTAAGCTTAAAATCCAAGATATTGCTCATGGAGGAATTTGTAAACTGAATAAAATGGGACACCCTAGGAGATCTGACAGTCCTCTTGGAGAGGGGGAATCTTCCAGGCTGTGGCAGAGGAGAATGATGCGATTCACTAATGTAGGCCAGGTCTCTCTGGAGAGGACTTCTCAAGTGGTTGAAAAGACTATGAAGACCTGAAGCAAATCAAAACAAAGGCCATCTATGAAGATTCTTAACAGGTCTTAGAAATAAGACTGAGGGCTAAGGAATGGAAAATAAGAACAAGGCATAGGCCACACGTTGGCATGGGCTAATCCTGTTGTGACTCCATGCATGACCCTCTCTTGACAAAACTTGAGCAACACGCTGTGGATCCCTGTGCTGCCTTCCAGAAGGAGACTGTTGGGAAGCTGCTGCAGAGGGCAGCACACTGTCACACTGCCTGCAGGTGGATATAAACCCCCCACCAGCCACCAGGGATCAGGTCCTCTCCCCTTACCTCCTCCACATTCAGAGCTGCACTCACTCCAGGAACTGTAGCTCCAGCTATAACCCGAGGCCTGTCCTTGCAGGGGCAGGTAATACTCATACTGTACCCCAGTGTTTGGCTCCTGGCTGATGAGCTGCAAAAGAATGGGAGGAAATCAAGGAAATTACACTTTTCATCTTCACAGCATTTCCCTACCATGTCTGAGGGTTCCAGCTAACTTGCACCCCTCCTATTCAAGAAGCACTAATTCTCTGCACTGGATTTTCTCCTTCCCTTCTATCATGTTCTAGAGAGCATTATTTTTCAAAGAAGGGTGCATTCATCCCTCTTGGCTTTAGAAGATCTAGCTGCTCCTGTCACAGCAAGTACAGCCCACCCTACAGCACAGCATAACAAGCAGTGTCCTGGAGCCTGTCCCTGCCCCAACACCATTTGGTGCTGACTCTTACCTCCCATAAAGTCAGTGTCCGAAGGAATAGGCAGGAAACCAACATTGCTTATTTCTGGGCAATAGGACCAGAACAGCAAAAAGTGCTATTTCTGCGGTCTAGCCTTATAAGATTCCTGGGGTTCCCATCTCGTCTCCAGTTTTTCCCAGCGTACTCCCACCGTGAAAAGCAAGAGCAGAGTGTCAGCAGGGGAAGGCACAGCCTCTCACCTCAATGACGAGGGGTTCTGTGGTGGGACCCCGGGCATGGAGGAGCTCTGGGGCCACATCACCCTCGGAGCCGCGGTCATAATGCAGCACCGTGCTGGCCACCTGCAGTGCCCGGCTGAAGTCAATCGTCCAGTGCCCATTCAGGTAATACTCCCCTCGCACATTCTTGACAGCTGGACAAACCCACATGCCAGAGAAAGGATCACAAGGTTGCTCCTGTTTCCAAGCAATACTGTGTCACAAGCAAATGAGACTGACCGCCCATCCTCCATCAGTGCTGTCCTCCCTGTATGGCTTTTTTAGCAGAAGCTGCTAAACCACATTCAAACAGTAGTTCATGCCAGCTTTGCTGCAGATCAAGAACTTTTGCTGCACAGCCAAATGCCTCCAGCATATTCCTGCCCTGCCTCTGCATTCCCCACTGTTAGTTGCTGGAGCACAGCCAATGCCAGCCTCTGTCCTTCTTACCACTAAGATGTGGGATTCACACTCCACTGCCTTTACACCACTATCTGGTTCATTAGATACTCTATTCAGAAAGCAAGATATGTTCTGAATCCAGTTTTCTACAAAGGAAAATGTGACCAGACTGATTTGTCCTAAGCACTCAATGATAGAGCACTCAGCAGAAGAGTATTTGCTTTCTCCACTAGAATTTCCTCAGCCTTGTCCAGACATCTAGGCAAGACCTTTTCTCCCTCCTTTTCCCCCTCTGCAGAATGACCAGAGTTTGAGGCTGTACAAATGATCCAAAGAAATCTATGGAGAAAAGATGCCCACTCCAAACTTATAGATGGCAGGAGTAGGTAGGTTTGCATTCACTAAACAGAGCTCACAGCCAAATTTGGCTAGATCAGCTAGATTCCTTGTAAGTTACAGGCAGGAAGTCTCAGTGTGAACAGCAAGATCTCCATAGGACAAAAAATGAACTAAATGTGGAGCCCAGAGTTGTTTGTGCATCACTCACATTTCAAGGATACTCAATATCCTGATATTCATTTTTTCACTCTGCCATATCAAGCCCTCAAGGTAAACCCATACCTTAAAACCAGATTTTAGCGTAATGGCTGAAATCCAAATGGACTGATACAGAGATTCTGACATCAATCATACCTAGGAAGTTCCTGCTAGGTTTAACCTCCTTAATTTGGATGCTTGTGGCTCCCACAGGGATAATAAAGATTTGATTGTAACCTGAAAAAAAAAAGGGATTATTCAATATCTGACTGTGGGTGCCATACAGCCACTCCCCTGTGCCAAAGATGTTCATGGCTTCATTTGTACCTGAACAACTAGGTGAGTTTTTGATGGTGACATGAAGCATTTCCATCATCCCTTTAACTGCATGCTGAATAACCTCACCCTACATTATCCACAGATCAGTCCATGCATAAAAAACTCCAGTGACACCTCAGAAAAGTCCATTTGCTACATTTTGAAGTCTTTGGAATTTCAGAAAGAATCATACTGGAGTTCAACATAGAGAGATGTGACCACAAGTGCAGATGACATCTTGGAATTTTTCAAAATTGGCCAAATGCAGAAGATGCAGTCCCATTTCTAGCCCTGCACATGTCCTGGTGGGGCTATCAAAACACTGGACAGCCTTACAAAGGCGGTGTGTGGTGATGTTATTGTGGTGCATTTATAGCACCTGCTGGAGAGGCAGTGGGGAAAGCCATCCGCATCATGGCAAGTACTCCTGTGGATACAGATTAACAAAGTGATTCCCAGGATAAGGCCAAGGGTATCTTTTCTGATGCTAAGGCCACACACTGTACAGATATTTCAAGTGAACATCCAAGCATGCCTGTAACTATCATGGGAGCAGGTGTCCCAACTAGCCCTTGTAGCAGTTGATTTTTGGTTTAACTCTCTCCTTCTCACCTGCCCAGACTACCTAGGATCATCTGTACCTTTGGGGAGGCTGGCCACATCAAAAGTGCCCTTCACACCATAGCAGGTGCTGCCATCTCCTCCACACTGCAGGCACTTGTCCTCCTTCTTGGCAGATTCCAGCATATTATCACAGCCAACGGCCTATCAGAGCACAGGAGCATTAGTAGGAATAAAATGTGATGACAGAAGGGGGAAAAAAGGCCAAATGCTGGACAGATTTATTGAGAAAGCCTGAATCTAGGGAGCCTGGAAAGTCAGGATAGGGCAGAGAAAACAACAAAGCTGTTATCTACTATTTCACAGCCAGAGCCAGATAAATGCTATCCAGATGCTCCTTAGCACCTTGAAACTGAGTGATTCACCTTTTCTGATGCTATGATGAAAGGTCAAGTAGAACAAAGGGAGACAACAGAAAGACTGACAGACCCAATGATGAATGAAGGAAGTACTGAGATGACTAACCTGACAAACTCCCTCTACACAGATATCTCGCTTGCCAGGTTCACAGGTAGTCCCATCTACCACTGCTTCCTTGTGCCTGTAGTAGAAGTTTTCTCCCTTGGGAATACAGTTTAACTCACACTTATTAGTTGCTGGCAGGAGAAAAAAAAGAAACATTATATAATATAATAACTTGATACTGGATCAGGACCCTAGTTCTAGATCACAGGAGCAGAAACAGAGGGGTCTACTGATACTAAGTGGCAGATATTAAATTATTTTCTCGATCACAAACCGCTGGAGGCTGGAAAAATATTCTAGTAAAATCTCACTGTACACAAATATTCCCTCAGAGGACATTGGTCTAAGTGGATATTTGGTTATTCCTTAGTAGGATTGCTCTTATACTCCCTTGGAGTACAGGGCTTTCTAGAATGAGAACAAGTGCTGATACCGAACTGTTATTTTAACAAGCAACAAAAAACCCTTTTAAATCTATCTTAAAATCCCTCATAATTAAAATCCCTCATAATTTGTTAACCAACTGTGAATGATACCATATCAAAGCTCAGAGCAAGGACCCTTGGTTCCCACAACTGTCTTCTGAGCTGGTTCCTCAAGAAAGCATGGTCTGATGAAAGAGATGTTGTATTTTCTGAAGCACTCATTAATTACATACATTTGCTGCTCTTGTGCCCTGCTAATTTTCTTTTGACCATATTGGAAAATACAGCAGAACTTCTGCCCCTCTAATACTTTGGAACTTAGGTGCAACCAGTTCCAGATTTCCTTGAGCAATGTTTCTGAAGGAATGGCTGTTACAAGAAACAAGTACATATTGCTGCAATGCTGTCTCTTGGCCCATACAGTGTCTTCAGGACAGCAATGCTTTGCTGGTGGCAAAAGGATTTTTTTCCATGCCAGCTCCTGCCCCCCACTCCAACTAAAGAAGTACCCTGCAAGGATACTACAGTAAAAATCATTACAGTCACTTCAAAACATATTGTTGATAGGGAGCGATGAAGTGTAACCCCACAGGTTTATCATTACCTCCATAATATGGAAGCCACTTATATTTCTTGCCTTGGAATTCTGTCCCATCAAACTCTGCACACTGCTCTGCCCGGAAATCCCGGGAACCTTCCGGGCAGTTCTGTTTGGAAGAGAAAGTGTTTGTATTGGAGTATTATAAAAAAGGAGGAAAATAAAGTGTACAATAAAAATGCCCCTTCAAACTGGGGCATAATTTCAGCATACTTTTGAATGGATACTGGTAATGAACTGCATCCCCTAGTAACATCAGAGAAACAGGAACTAATAATCACATCTTATTTCTGAATAAGAATGATGTTTGTCTGGGGAAAAGGAGCAGCAGGAAAGAAAAACTAAAACCAGAGCAACGATACCTGAACATTACACGACCGATAGCTTCGTGTTGGTCCAACACAACTGGAAGGACCTTCTGTCCTGGAAGACAGAAAAAATACATGGAGCTCTCTGAAGAACATGCATACAAAATCATCTCATAGCAGACGTTACAAATCACCTTCACACCAAGCATATCACCCTCACAGAGTTCCCTGAAACAGCAAAATAACTAATATGCACTTCTTCACCATTAAAGCCAGCTGGCATTTTCTAGTGGCATTTTATGCTATGGTTTATGTTCTGGCATGAATGAGACACGCATCATGAAAAACTGCAGTACAACTCTTCAGGGTCATGTTTCAACTAAATAATGGAAGCTGAGATTTTAGTCCATCATCCACCAGCAAACAGTCCCGTTGTCCATACAAGAAAGAGAAACATGTTATGTGCAGCACGAGGATAGTGGCCAATTCAGAATATCTTTGTGCATCATTTATCTTGATTTTTTTGTGCCCAATAGGTCCCTTATTAGGAAGGGCGAAACATGCCTATGGAAAGTGTGCAATACCCTTAGTCCAGTCAAATGACCCTAGCTGAGAATTATGGAGAGTAAAAATTATGGAGGAAATTGACCTAAAACACCAATCAATGCCTAACACTTCAGTGTTCCTAAAATGGAGAGACAGGCCTTCAGGGATTCTGGCAGGTATAAACCATAATGGGCAGCCTTCAAAAGAGACCTTTCTTTATTCTCTGTGGGAAGCAGCAGCTTCATAACTCTGTCTTTCTTCTATTACAAAACCTCCTCTCATTTCTCTAAACAGAGAGAGGCCTGTTTTTCTCAGGATATTATTGAGAGTCTGGCTTTTTTTCCCTCCTTTGCTTTGTTTTCATCCACAACAAGATCTCTACAGTCCATCATTCCCAAAAGGTGCAGTACCAGTCATCATCCTCATTAGGATGCAGCTGATCCAGCTGCAAATGAGGTGGCACAGCGCTAACACTGCTTGAGCCAAATTCACTCTTCCATTTCTTCTGGGGCAATTTACTGTGCTGGGAGTCATAAACCTGAGGAAACCTCAGTGCTGTCACCAGCTCTCAGGAGAGAAACCAACTGCTCTGGCCTGTTCTCCATCTCCCTCAGGGCTTACCACACTAGACCTGATTGAGCAGCTGCTACCATGCCAATCTCCTGATTGCACAGCCTCAGATCTCACAGAAACTGCTGTGATCTATCAAAGGAGCCAAAGCAAGCACATGTTGAAGAGGGGACTACACAAAACAGCAGTGACAAGACTGAAACTGAGGTTCATCTCAAAGTGGACTCATTCCCCTGGGATCAAACACTAAGTGTTTTTTTCTGGATGTATATTGGAACATAACTGCACAAGCTCAGAAACAGTACAACACATTTAAAGAAAAGAAAGAAAAAAAAAAAAAAAGGGTTAGCCCTCACCTTTGGGAATAGCAGCGCCGCTGCCGAAAGCTGACTCCACCGCCACAGCTCCGACTGCACTTGCTCCATTCACCCCAGCTCCCCCAGACATCAACCTGCCTTTTCATCCGGCTGCCCTGGGAATAAAAAACCCACAGACATAGCAAAAAGACATGGCAACACAGGGAAAAAAAAAAAAAAGAAAATGAAGCAGAGATCCTAAAAATGCTATCTTGCTGTGCTGTATTCCTAACATGAAAAGTGGCACACAGTAGTACATCAGAAAGATCAGGTCTCTAGTATCCAGGAGTATTAGCTTGCTGAAGCCACATAGCACATCCAGCCTCATAATCTCTCTTAACAGCTACTGTTTTTCTATTCATAGAATTTCAGCACTTTTGAATAACTATCTAAAAGAAGATAACATCTTCCTCTCAGCAAGGCAGCAAAGGCAAATAATTACTTCAGGGACTCTGAGCACTGTCACTCCACACCAGATCAATACAGCCACTTAAACCCAAATCCTTGGCTCTAAGTACAATACTTAAGAGAAGTAAAGGAAGCAGAAAGAAATGCCCCAGAACACACTTTTTACTGCAACAGAGTTCCATATATGGAGCTTCATTCCCCTTACCCAAATGTGTCCAATGACAGTGTCAAGGTCTGGGCCATCATTAGCAAAACCCTTATTAATTTTGTATTTAGAAAGTTTGATTACTGACATTAAGAGAAATAACTATGATAATATAGACAGAAATTTACAAGTGTGATGGAACCAACCAAAATACATTGTCTTGGACATGCATGAAATATCATATTTTCAAAAAAAAAAGGCCTTCTGCAAGCTGATGGGATTCACATACAGCAGGACATGTGTGGTTAGTGGGAAGAATGGCAATATCTTAAGGAAAAAAGTAATATTTGCAAGATGCAGTAGGATTAATTCTGCTTGAACAAAGAAGGTAAGTGCAGGGTTACCTGGTGAATGACACTGTAAAAACAGGGTTTGCAGGGCAGCTGCAAACTGAAGGGCAGTTTATGTATACAATTGTACCACTGAGAAGGTAGTGCAGGTCATTTGGGCACTGAGACATTTGCTGTAGTGAAGAGCGGGCAGGCAGAGAAAAAAAAGGTAAAAAATTATTGTGATGTGACATAACTCGCCTCCACACACAAACATCCAAACCTCTGCTAGAAATAGGAGCTAGTCTAATAAATCATCCAGTGAGTCTAACTCAGGCAAGATGCATGGGTTAATCCTCCCTTGTCATTTAGACAGGCTTTATAGTTTTTCACACACACTCTCTGCCTTACTGTATGTCCAAGTTAGTCTTGTTTCTTTACTTCACCCTTTTTTAAGGAAATAATTTCCTGCTGCTGGCAGAGCAACAGTCAGAAATATTAGCCAATCATATCTATGCATTTACTACAGAATTACCCACAACTGTCTAGCTGTAGAGTCACCCCAAATTACCACCTGTATTTCTCTAATGAGAAACACTTTCTTCCTAGCTCAGCTACTTACTTTTCTTCACACAATTTTTTCTAATACCTCTGGTTCAGACCAACTCTGTTTGTCTTCATCCTGCTCGTTCAGTGGCACTGCCCAGGTTACAGCCACTTCTACATAGCTCCTCTTGACCAAGTCAACATCTCCCTGATCCTGTGCCAAACCCTTCTACCATTCTTTCACTCCAGATATTCAAGTCACTGTGTGTCTTCTGCATTCTCATTTGCCTTTCTGGGCATAATCCCAACAATAGTGTTTTAGCTTTCAGCAAGGCTTTTTCAGCAATCTTATTTTCCCAAGTTTTTCTTTCAGACACCTAATTCCTCCCCCTGTAATCCCTCCTCCCTCACCCTCAAAAGAATAAAATACGCTACCATTTTTTCTTGGCAGTCTTATTCCTCTGTATCAACTGACTGATTTAGGTGCAGTATTAGCTCACCCTGGAAACAAGGGACCTTTCAGTCAGCATAAGGGAGAAGGAAACGTGTAGATAAAAATCCAAAGGAAGAGCATTTGAAAGTCAGATTACTGGAAGGCAATTAGGATAGAAAGCCCTTCCTTGACACACACACCACCCTGATAAATATTCCAATATCCCTCCTACAGAACTAGCATTATTTATTCCTTCTATAGAGAGTAAAATCTGCAGGGACTCTTTGTTGTAAGGCTTATGCATCCACAGAGTTCAGGAACAATCATTTTTCTCAGTATCACTCCAATTATGTACACCCCAAAAGGAGCATCAGACAAAAGAATCCTCCCAAAGCTGTACAGTGTCAGAGAAAGATTTTAATAGGGGCCCAACTCCCATATTTGGAAATCTGTGTACAGTCCTCATTACTTCAGTAACTGCACATGTGTAGGCAGACAAAGATAAAGCTGCATGTTTATAATAAATAATAAATATATTATTACATAACCTGATAACAGGACATTTTTAGATGCTGTCAGCCAGTTTCTGCTCCAAAAGCCTCTTTCTGCTCTCTTCAGACTCTGGAATGCTTTTATCTCATGTCAGCCAGGACAACTAAATTCCATTCCCTCATGGATTTCAGAATGAAAAATCTACAATCTTCATTACTGTTACAAATTCATTCGGTTCTGTTCTTCTCTTGCTTCAGCCTGACATTCATACAAGAATGTAGTTTCTTTATCTGCATAAAGTATATATTTTAATGTTTCAAGAGAAGTGAGAAAATGCATACAACCATCTTTCCTGACCTCTAAAAACTCCCCAAAGAGCAGACAGTTAGTGCCCAACTGCTCTGTCCAGTTTTATCACCAGTTGAGACACCAGCAATGCATCCTTTCTGGGAATATTGATATTGCCCATGACCTGGCACTGTGGATTCTCAGGGCTCATTCACATACAGGCAGCTGTGGTATACAAGTTTAGAAGGCCAGGGATTTCATTTTTATGAACACTGCATTGCTTTCATCAGTTCCTAGACAGACGAACTGCTGATGTAGTGGCAGCATCTGCTGTTACCAGGCCAACAGTATCTGATATCATCAGCAAGTAAAGAGCTATGCCTCTGAGTCATTAGACCTCCAGACCTCATCTGCAAAGACAATTCCAGTATGCATCACAGGCAAACAAAAGAATTATGGAAAAGTGTCCTAGATAGCTTATTATGTACCATGTAATGTTTATTTTTGTGTATGACACATGCACTGGAAGAGAAGCTATGAATGGGACTTGACTCAGAAAAACAGAAAATGCTTGCACTATGTAGGAGCACTTTGAAAGACTTTCCAGTCAGTTTGATGAGATGGATAGAAAACTATGCATGGGAAGAGGGCTGTGCTTCCCAGACAAATGCATTGCAGGCATGCAGTGATCCACAAAGTTCATATCACCAACTGTGGAGAAGTGATTCAGTGGGAACAATTTCCTAGTGCCTTGTTGCAACTCAAATACCAGCAAGCTATCAAAGAGAACATCAATTTACTATACAATCCCAAGTGAGCAGTGAAGTTCTGCAGTCACACATCCAAACAACCTACATCCCAGGTAAATTCTTACCGCTTGCTCCTTGGGCACTTTTCAGGACTCAGAGATAGTCACCCTGAATTATTTTGTGATGTTTGTTTGGTGCTGCTTTTCCAGACTGACGAGCAGGAACAAAATGTCCTGTTGCACCACCCCAACAGTTGCTGCTCAAAGCATGTGGTTACTGATAACCACACTATGCCCAGAAGGTTGCACAGCTTTGGCCTGTTGAGATGCAACTGAAGCATTGTTTTGGACACTGAAACATCCTTACTGTGATTTCTGGGGCTGTTTCACTTGCTTACTAGGTTCCATTGGAATCAGACACAAATCTCAGCACCGACAGGGAGAAGGTGGTGAGAAATAGAGGCTGACGACAAAGCCCTGTCCAGCTGTTACCCACTGAAAACAGATATTGCTCACAATGATAAAATGAGTAATGTGGTGTCACACTTATCTAGTGTTTCCATGGCATAAAACTACAGTCAAAATCAGACTCTTTCTCTTTAACCTTTCTTAGTATTTTTGAAATAACACTGCATCATTTTATTGGATAAATATCTACTTTCTGGTGTTTATAGTTTCTGAAATATGGTTAATGTTTATTTTGACACACCCTGAACTGTAGCATCATTTAGGAAACATGATGTAGGAGAGAAGGGTGAAAACCAAATACCTTACAAAAGAAAACTATCACCACTATCACTTCTGTAATTGTTTCATTGCCAAAGTCTTGGCAAGTAAGAACTCTTCAGTGAAAAAATGAGGCTTCATTAACATTGAATAATAAGTGCTTAGGGAGAAGTTAATTGATCAGAGAAAATTTTATAACAGAAAGGGGAAAAGAAAGAAAAGTGTCAAGGTGCCCCAAAGATTGGCTGCTCACTGTGGGCCAGTAGTGAGAGACTCTCCCAGGACAGCATAGCGGGCCAGGGAGCAGCCCCAGCCCTGGGAATTGGGCACCTCCACAAGAAACTAGGCTGGGAGTTGGGACTGCAGGTGGGCCTGACTCATCAGGGTCCATGGCTGGCCAAGCAGAGTTGTGCAGATCCTCACTGGGGCAGGAGCCAGCAGTCCCAGGAGCCTACAAGGGTGTCCTGGGCAGTGGGCTGGGTGTGGAGAGTCCAGTCAGGGCCCGTAAAGCCTAGTAGTGCCCTCAGAGCCCTAACAAAATAACGCACATGGACTGTGTCCTTAGACCATGGGCTCTTTGGTATATGAACCATTTCCTTCTTCTTTCTATATCCAGAAGAATTACCCAATACTACAATGATGACCACCAATAATATATTTTCACATAGCTAAGCTCTGCATGACATGTAGTATCCAACCCTCAAATTTAATTGAAAGGGAGCTGAAAACATTCAGTATATGTTACATGTTTATAATTTAGACATCTGCTGCTATGCCAATATGCATTTTCAAGATGGCTACATCTGCAACCAGCTAGGATATTAGCCAAAAATGTTACCAAAAATGAGCTAATTAATCCAAACCACATCAGCAAAGCATTTTTTTTATAATTCTGTCTTAACCATTGATCTTTGCTCAGACACAGCAGGCTTGTGAAGAGCTTTGAAGGTGAATAATGCCAAGTACCATTTCTATGAATAATGAATAAGCAATCAAAGAATTGTATTTGAGTAAAACTAGAAAAACAAGACTGAAAGTGAACAAGATGGTGACAGCAGGAAGCAAAATACAAAGTGATGCAGAAGAAGTATCTTATTAAGACAAGCTGCTCTACGAAGATGAGGAAAAAAACCCAGGCTTTGTTAGCTTTAATGGCTTGTGGTTTACACTCACTGTGTACAAATCCTTTCATTCCACTCTCATCCTAGCCATGGCTCGTTAGCATATGCCCTCTAACAAATACAGTAAAATCCAGCAGTTCCCCGACACCTTCATTTTCTCAAAACACTTCAGATTCTCCCTACATCACTGAGCCCTCTCCCTTGTGGTTCCCAGCTCTTTTCCATGTTCCCTGTTCAACTCTTCAACACTCCTCACTGTGCTACCTCTCTTTGGGCTGTCCCACCCTACAGCTAGCTCCTTCCACACCCACTGATTTTCTGTCAGCTGGGGAGAACATGGTGCATGCCTGGTGCGCTGCACAGCCAGGGACGTGCTGCCCCATGGGGCAGTGGGCAGAGCAGGTACCAGTTGCTTTTCAGAAATGGAAAGGCTTCCAGAAATTCCGGGTGGCCTGGAGATGAGAAGGGAATTTAAAAGACACAGCCATTGCAGAGAAGTCAAATTAATTCTTGGAATCCTTGTGGAGGAAATGGAGCACATTCAGAAAACTCTACAAAGAAGATGATTGTGAGTAAACTTTATGACCCCAAACTTATTTGGAAAAGTGGACAAATCACACAGTATGAAGTCACTAGAAGTTGTTTATCCAAGGGGCCTAACAGGAACTCAAGGTTGAAATGGATAAACTGTTACATACTAGCAAACCCCTCTCTAAATCCACTTCAATATGTGATTATTGGAAAGTGGAAAATCTGACACCAGTTTACAAAATGATCCCAGGGGAAGCCATGGAACTGTACATTCACAGAGCATAAAACTGATGTCAGCTGATAAATTAATAGAAGTTATAACAAAGAACAGAGCTAGCAGGCACCTGCATAAATACAGGATGTTTGGGAAAAAGTCAATAGGACTTTTAAAAGCAAATTCTTCTAAGAATATTGCAGTTCTTCAATTCACAAACATGTCAACAAAGGTAACCTGCCAGATACAGTCAGATTTAGCACAACACTTCCAAAAAATCCTTCACCTAAAGCTCTGAAGGAAGTTAAGCAGTCAGAAGGACAATTCTTCAATGGATGATGAGCAGGTGGTCCAAAGAAAAAAGCAGGAATAAAATCTCCACCCACTGCAAGAACTGACATTAGCAGCAGAATTCCATAAGGAACCAGAATGCCTCAGCACATTTATGAGCAATGCCAAAACCACAGAAGTAATGAAAGCAGATTATAAGGGTAATATAGGGTAATAAAGGACAACAGAAAACCAGAGACTTACTGCAAAGAACCACGGGAAAACATTATAGCATTAGCGATTTATCACTAAAATGACAGTGGAGATTTAATGTAGGCAACTTAAGTGACACAGGGGAAACACAAATCCTGTCCCAAATTGCTATTTTTTATTAATTATTAATTAATATTAATAAATCATTACATTGTAGCTGATATTTAGCTCTCAAGAGCAGGATGTTGATATTATGGCTTCAAGGAGGCTTTGACCAAATTCAGGGAAGAGAGAGAGAGATATCTCAAGCCCAAAGGGTTCATAAACTGGAAGTTTATTGGGGGAAATTGTATCTGCCTACCTTTTAATGTTTTTTTCTAGACACATGTTTCTAGACACATGTGACATAGCTGTAGACAGGTTATAGGTCAAAACAAACTGGTTCTACCTGGTAAAATTGTTCTTGTTCATGTTTTCTCCCTTTCCCTCCATAGGAATAACAGTAAAATCTCTTCTTTCTCTGCACTCACAGTAATTTTTACTGTTTCTGTATGACCTTAACTTTTATGTCCTTGTGTACCTTCTGCCCTTTGTTAAAGCTGGGTAAGGCATCTAAAAGTTTATTCAATAGATTAGCACTTTAAACAATAACAATGTTGAGTTATTCAGAATAAATTAAAAACCAGCATTTCAACCTAGAAATGCAGATCCATATGAAGAAACAGTGTTCAGAGGAAATGTATGACTTGGACAGATGCAGTATGGCAGGGAAACTGACATACTGAACTTAAGTGGTGGCCAAGCAAAATTTCTCCTTTCATTCAGCATGGCTTCAAGAGGAACTATCGAATGCATGCAGGAGGTAGAGTCTAATGCTAAGAGAAATGTCAGCCTTCACAGTCTCAGGGTACTTCAGTGATATCCCTTCCCAAAAAAATCACCAATATCTCCAAATTAGAGATAGGCAGGTGAACAGATGAACTGAATAGAATAAATTCAATTTCTGGTTCTTTTAACATACAATATAATTTTTTTATTAGTTTTGAGACAGCAGGCACTCATTTAAGCAAATTTCCATCTGCAAGGGAAACTAACAAACTCGGCTTGATTTCTGGTCTCATCCCCTATCTTCAAAGGTGGCCTAGAAAGCAAAACACTTACTCCAAGTGATAATTGCCTCTTTTTTTCCCCACTCTCTTTTACTTTACACCTAACAACCATGTAATGTCTTTGTTAATACTTCCACTCTACTCTGTAGGTCATCTTTTACCTTAGATGACCAACTCACTAATAAAGTTTAACTTCAAGTCAGGCAAACTGTTTTCAAGCTGCATTTACTTCAGAAAGATCCTGCTTCTCACTCAGAAAGGAACACGAATCCCAGTTCATAATTGCTGCATTATTTTTCTGATAATATCACATTGGCTTACCATAAAGTAACCTCTCCCAGCAAAGCTAAACCACATGGCTAATACTTCTAAGACCAAAGAAAAGAGAATAATGAAATAACCAAAAATCCATCCTCTTTATTTCAAGTGATAACTCTCTCTAGCTTTGAAGCAGAAGACAGCAATTACTGCTTTGCAGATAACATCCTTAAAACCAAAGGCACTACCAGAATTTGATTATTTAATTGCCATGTTAGACTTTCCATAAGATGTGCCACAATAGGCCTGATGACTTGACCCTATTAGCTCTTTCAGAAATACTTTCTACAAAGCACTTGAATTACAGATGTTGACAGTTCTTAACAGAAGTATCTTTCATTTCTTGTAACAGTGCTCAGAAGAGCATTTACTTACTGAAAATGCAGAAGGTGACGTTGTTGCTAGCATGAGCAGAAGGAACAGGTTCTTCATCTCTGTCTGTGGGAACAGAAAAATTACTCATCAAGATTGCTTGCTTCTTTGCTGTTTGGTGGAAAAGCTACAATACCATGAAGTAAAAATGGAGGTGGAAGTAAAATTAAGAGGAGAGGAGAAAAGCAGTTTTACCACTAAACTCCCTGAAGAGATGAAGGCATCTGCAAAGATTGAAAACACCCTGCACATAAAGCCAAGATATAATTACTGAGAGTGCTTAATTCCCTGAACTTTCCTCTGGTATTATGAGAACACCATCCCCAGGCACAGTGGAGGGTGCATGCTGTTGCATGTCTGCCCTCCCACCCCTTTACGTATACACCTGATAAAATACTTGAGGATTGCAATGACTTCAACCAACCCAAGGTAAAAAATTCCACAGTTAACATTTCTGTACCCTCCAATCATCTTGTGTAGTTGTGCTTGTTTAAAATCCCATAATTCATCATGGACAGCTATAACTAGATTCCACCATGAGCAGTTACATCCCCTCTGCAGAGCTAGAAAGCAGATCAGGTCATGTAGGCTGGTATGAGAGCATACAACAGTTCCTGAATTTGGGGCGTTGCCCACACTTGGGACCACAAAACTTTGTTGGTACATTCCCTGTTGCTACTTAATCCTTCCTTTTTTGAGTTGCAGTGACACCAACCACCACTCACCAGAGCTCACAGCTGTGACAGGGACACTTCAGCCTCTACAGATTGATTCTTTCTCATCACCCTTTTCTCATGACCTTGAGACCAGTTAAGCCCAGGGGAAAAAAAAAAGAGAGAGTAGATGCTCCTACCACAGTTTTATCTAGTTTGGGCTTCTTTCTAACTTGGAAAAAGGAAAGGTAAAAGGAGAAATTTTCCTTTCACAGTACACAAAAGCATCAAGGAAGAAATGGTTATTTAATCAGTCCTTGTAACAATATCTGTATTAATATTAAAACTTCATATATAGCTCCTTTATCCTGGCCTATTAAATTCAGATAAAATACAGAATATGTATCACTATTAACAATGATAACATTGATAAAAAAATCATTGTTGCATGAGGATATGACATCAGAACCAAGAAATACCCAAAATGAAATTTAGTTGATCTGGTATTTGAGTATTTCAGGTTACTTTATGATAGGCAACCAGTTTTCTTATAGTCTTAGGCCTCAACGAACAGATTCCATAACAACTCTCCAAGTCCGTATATACGATGGATTTTAACACTGCCAACATTCACCATGCTGAGAATAAAAAGCTTGTTCCTAAATACTTTATCTTTCAGATGTAAAAGCTACAAAAAAAAAAAAAATCAGTTGCACCTGTCTGTGTACAAAATAATAGTAAGCAGAGAAAATGGAATTGGGAAAACAAACACTAATAAACTTCTCTCCCTAAACACTGAGTCATAAGATTCATAAGAAAATGAATATATAGGAGTTTTTTAATATGAAAAGACTATCATTAATTTTGGTTTACTAATTCTTAGGAAACTGAGGGAAGACTGTGTATCCTCCATCACCCACAGCTGCTACTACTTTTGCTATTCAAATAAAGGAAGACACAACATGGGGATACCTTCCAGAAGATGTAAAGAATGCTCTCTGTGCTCTAGAGGCCAGTGACCAGGTCAGGCTGGATCTCTGTAACAACTGTACCAAGCATCCTAGCCTTTCTTGGAGGAAACACAGGCAAGAAGACACCCTTTTGCTACAAGATCTGTGTACACAAGCAGCAAAGTTCTCCTGAATGCCCACAGCACTAGGAAAAGGCATTGTGAAAGCAGCATCTTCCTTGAATGGTGTTGCCATCAGAGGTAAATATTTGAGATCAGCTCCTATTCCTACTACCTGGAGGGAAAAAAAAATCACCTTTTCCCCAGCACTCCTCTCTCACATATTCCATTTCCAGCCACCTCTCAGGTCCACAGATATGGCCTTGAAAATCAAATCCTTGTTCTGATGCTAATGAACTGTCTGCTCAGCTCTTTCTACCATCTGAGCCAAGAGGCAGACAGGGAGCTGGGACCAAACCACATGAGGCTCCTGGATAAGAGGCTAGAGGAGCAGGTTACCAGGGCTAGCAGTGCTCCCATTCTCCAGGTAGTTAGAATTTTGGATGTTTTCAGCCAGGCAGCAGAAAAAGATTCTCTGAGGAGACAAGTAGAGTCAGAACTCAATGTATGGGGCAACCCTGTGCACCAAAGCAGCAAGAGGTTACAGCTCTGATGCTTGTTTGTACTTTTGTGCCATTGCACTTGCATGGAAATTTCTATCATATGTCCCAAATTTAGCATTAAAATATTTAGACCATCCAGACCTATTAAACTGGTCAAGAGATTCCCAGAAGGATTGGCAGAAGGAAGAACAGGACCATCTGTATCCTGTGAAATTCCCCACTGGAAAAAAGATCCTGTATTTGATTACTGAGTATCAACAAACTTGTTATTTTAAAAGCTTCCTCAGATGAAGGATTCAGCATTGATTCCTTTCACCTTAGTTTCAACCACAATAGATGGGATTGAAGACTCTGTCTGAAACCTTAAAGAAAGGTCAAGTTCTGTTTCTGGATTTCAAGGCCCTTTAAGTCCTTGTAGGACCTGGGGTACAGCAGCCTATGTTTATTCTGCTTGCTCGCCATTCTTCTCACTGCAGGCTGAGTATGCGGGGGAAGGAATGAAAAGGACAGTGTTTTGCAGTTCTTTCACTTGTAACAACAGCAGCTGCTGCTCCCTGAGCCTCCTGCCCTTTCCAGTTTACTTCAACCCTCCCCAGCTCCCTTTTCCCACTGTGTGCTAGAACAGCCTCTCCACCCCTCCTCCACCCAGAAACAGCAGCAGAGCCTGAGGGGAAATGGTGACTTTATGCTCAAGCTATGGAACAGCTGCTGGAAAGCTCACAAGGAGGAATTCCTGCCATAGTGCTAAAATATGAAGTTATCTCAGGGAGAGGGTTTATGAGTTCACAACAAGAAAGGAACAAGCAGAATCTTTGACCAGAAATAGAGGTGTGCCCAGCTGAAACCTCTGCCCATACTACAGAAGAGATTCAAATTGTCTAGGCAGTCACATCTGGCATAAGTGCTCAGGTGAGATGAATAAAAGGCTTGAAGTGGGGAGTGGTTCCAGCCATCTGTGAGCTTGGTCAGAAAGAATCAGCTTCAGAGTTGAGCTCTAGACTGTTTTCTTGAGGAGATGCTGACCCAAGCTTCTCCAAACACTGGGAGAAATTCAAACTGGGATCTAACTTTAACAGCTCAGGAACCTCCTATTCCAAAACAGGAGGGTGAGAGAACCACAGAGGAGATAACTGGAATTTCCTAACTGAACAGAACACAAGAACACCATTACCACTGGAAACTGGGATAAGCACCCTTGTTTCAGGGCTTAACACTGAACCCACTTAGGAAAGAAGCTTCTGCCTTTACAAACAGAAGTTCTAGAAAAGACAGATGGGCAGACTTGGAGAATTCTCTATAGTGGAGCCAGCAGTGAGCTGCTGTAAAAATATTTTATTTAGTTTGAAACTCTTATCTAGGGCCGGGCAGGCTTAGCAAGATCAGTCAAATCTTCATGAAGACCAGGAGTATGTTTTAGAATCAAGGACAGTTTTAATGACTCCTATATTTACTTTATGTGTGTAAATCCTGCCTTCCAATGCACAAATAAAATTGCTTACTTAAACTTGGCCACTTTTTCAAACCAGCTCTTAACATCCATGTTCTTGGGGAAACATATATACATTGCCTGTATATAGATGAAAAAATATGTGTATATATGAAAAAATAACTTTGAATCAATTGTCTAATTTCAGGGTCTCAAAAGCAATAAAATTACATTTTGAAGGAAAAGATACTGGACCAGGATGAAGAGAAGTGTTGAACTTTTAATCTATTTAGATGATGACTTTTTCAACAGGAAGGAAATCCAAACTTAAAAGTAATGTTATGAATAACTTAGCCTTGTGTAAGCAAGAACTTAAGCTGTTTAGGCACTACAGAATCAGATCACAAAATCAGAATAAAACAAGTTTCATGAGCTCCATTGCTCACACATGTATCAGGTTTTCTCTATTCTTTTTGAAAATAATTGGACAGCCAATGTTATTCTCTGTTTAGCACACAAGACAGATCAACCTTCTTTGGCCTGTGAACCACATTTCTAAATCATCTTTGGCCAAAAACACATATCACATGCATGATCATATGTGTGAGTCAGGGATTGTTCTAGGAGTGGTTCATAGGCAGAAGGCAAAAAGACCCCTTCAGGGTTTCTCCTTGTGTAATCTAGATGAGATTTAGCTGGACATGCAGGTAAGTAGCAAAGCCACCCAGCATTACTGACTTTGGCAGGTCCTTACAAGTAATTTCATCTCCCTTTTGGGAATTTGAATTACTCAGTTTGAAGTAACCCTGACACAGACGCTGCCTTTGCATGCACAACTTCTGAGATACAGGTTGGCCACCCTGGCAATAAATATTTACCTGCTCCAATATCAACAGAAATGGCTTATTGTAAAGCTTAGCACATGCAGCACAAAAACAGATGTCGGCACAGGGATCCCACTACTCACAGGTTTTCAGAAATTCCTTCCCTTTCCTGCACTCACTCCCCTTTAACACATCAGATCTCACTTTGATGTTTTATTTTTAGAAATTTGGTTGAAGGAGGTGGGAAGCCAGAATGGGCAACATATCATCATCCTGTTATTCACTGACAGAAATTTTTGAGTCATTGACTGAGAGCAGTCTTTGAGCTTTTAGATTCACTACATTTTCTAAAGACATTATGATTTTTGCTTTGCTCTAAAAAGCATCCAGCATATCTTTGTTCCAGCTTGCTTTTGTTTGCCTTGACAACTGAGAAGCACCTTTTAAGTTTTTGCTGGAAGAATTAAAAAGGAAAAATATACACACAGAAAAAGAAGCTAAGATGAAGGTGGGGAGACAAAGGGGCTCCATGGAACAGAGATCAAGGATAGGGAAAAAAGTCCCTTTGCTTAGGATGTGAGCTGAGTGAGGAGAGCACAAGGACCACATCACACAACCTAGAGGAACCAGGAGACAAATCACTTTAGGCAGATGGTATCACATTCAAGATACTTCTTAATATGCCTCTTTTCTTCCCCAACACAGTAAATCATCCCTTTTTTGGGCAAATTTTCAAAGAAAATCATGTGTTTTATGTCCTTTGGGTTAGGGCAGATAAGCCAAATAATGTCTATGTGCCCGTTAAAACAGAAGGATGATGGACTTCCTTTGTCTTGACCATGCCATGAACCACATCCATGAAGAGCTGCTTGTATACAAAGCAAAGGATAAATGTTTATAAATGAATGCAAACACAGGTCTGTCTGAAAGGGCTTAATGGGAAAGGAGAGAAAACAAAGAAAACACAAGTTGTCCAAGCATAAGTTTTATGGTGGCGTCTTTACCATTGGTGCCCAGATTTAATAATTCATTCTAAATACATGTTAGAAGTTGAAGAATCCTCATCAAGAAAGTAATCCCACAGGGATATACTTTCAGCCATGTTATGCATATTATGGAAGACAAACTTTCAGCTAAAATATCTTTAAAATTCACCTTGTTAAATTAAAAAAAGTTTTAAAAACTTACTAACAAGCACAGCAGCAGAGCACCAGCTGGCTGGAGAACTGAGTAGTGGTAACACAGAAGCATCCTTGAGCCTGCTCTATCAATGGCTTTCAACTCAGCCTTCAGGCTGATTCCTAACATGAATCTGCACCAGGCCATCACTTCATGTGGCTGACAAAGACTGACAATATTTTTTTACAGAGGACTTGTACAGCAAAAGAAAGTTCAGCAACACCTGGGGAAGCTGCAGCAACATCTGAATACTGAAATCACACAAAACAGTAGCTGAAGAATCATTAGGCTCAAGAGCAAGATCAACACACAGAGATTCTAGTGAGGCCTCACACCATACCCTATCAGTAGGTGGGGAAGATGCAGACCTGCCTCCTTCTGGCTCTTCAAAATCCACAGTGATGTATCTCAGGCTTGGGTCAGTAAAGCACCATCTTCCAAGCAAATGTAATCACTATGCCAGCCCTTTGCAGGAGCTAATACAGTATTTCATGAGGGCAATTTTCTGTCTACCTATTAATATCAGCTCAGATTCAATTTTATGCAACTAGCCTCCCACTATTAGGTTTGCAGCAAGAGATCTATTATAAGGAGTAAAGATAGGATTCTGACTTCTATTTTGGTAGTCTCACTGTGCTTAGCTGTTAATTAAATCTGGGAGCATGTAGGGATAATGACAAGCACACAGACTGATTTAGACACTGCTAAAAGAAGCCACGCACTGCCTATGGAAAATACATGACAAGGATATAATACTCCAAACACTAGCATAATTGAAGAGGAATTGCTAACAGTCTTTTACTACTGTCCTGTCACAGCTTAAGCTTCATTTCTATGAGTTATTTAGCCTGACCTGAAATATCATCTGACACTGAGCACTGGTGCTGTTTATAAATAATAGAATGGATTGGGTTGGAAGGAACCTTAAAGATCATTTAGTTCAACCCCCCTGACAGGGACACCTCCACTAGAGCAGGTTGTTCAAAGCCCAATCTGACCTGGTCTTGAATACTTCCAAGGATGGGACATTCCCAGTTTTCCTGGCCAACCTGTTTCATGCCTTACCACTTTATGAATAAAGATTTTCCTCCTAATATCTAGTCTAAATCTGCCCACTTTTCGTTTAGAACCAGTACCCCTTGTGCTATCACTACCCGCCGACATAAAAAGTGACTCACCATCTTTAAGTCCTCTTTCAATACCAGAAGGCAGCAATAAGGTCTCTCTGGAACCTTCGCTTCTCCAGGCTGAACAACACCAGCTCTCTCAGCCTTTCTTCACAGAAGAGGCGCTCCAGCCCTCTGAGCATCTTGTGGCCTCCTATGGACCCACTCCAGCAGCTCCATGTCTTTCTTATGGTGCCCAGACCTGGACACATTATTCCAGGTGGGTTCTCACAAGGGCAGAAGGGGAGAATCCCCTCCCTTCCCCTGCTGGCCATGCTGCTCTGGATGCAGCCCAGGATGTGGTTGGTTTTCTGGGTTGTGAGAACATCCTGGCAGTTCATGTCCAGCTTTTAATCCAGGAAAATTGCCAAGTTCTTCATATGGGACCACATCAAAAGCCTTACAGAATTCTAGGTGGCTTACATCAGTCCTCCCTAGTCAACCACTGCAGTCACTCCACCACAGAAGGGCACCAGGGTGGGCAGGCAGAATTTGCTCTTTAGCGAAGCCATGCTGGCCTATCTTGCATTACCTCCTTGTCTTGCATGTTTCCACACTGTGTCCAGGAGGATCTGCTCCACAACCTCCCCTCTGGGCACCAGGCACAGAGGGGAGGCTCACTAGTGTTTAGTTCCCTGGGCCTTCCCTTATCCTCTTTTTAAAAATACGAAAAATGTTTCCCTTTGTCCAGTCACTGGGGAGTTTGCCTGACTGCCATGACTTTTCAAATATCATGGAGAGTGGCTTGACAACCAGATCAGTCAGTTCCCTCAGGACCCTGGCATGCATCTCATCAGGCCCCACAGACCTGTGCCTATTCAGTTTCCACAGATGGTCTCAAACCTGCTCTTCATTTACAGTGGGAGGGACTTCACTTCCCAACCCCCACCTGAGCATGTTACCCAGCTGACACTAATCTCTTACAATTCAAAATGTTGAGAATTCTTTAGGAAAATAAAGGATTTTCATGCTAAAAGATTGCTTCAAATTTATTTAAATTTATTCCATCCTAAATATAAACAGTAATTTCTGTGCTGTGCAATGGGTTAAAAATAAAAATAGAGTGTTATTTCAAGAGGAGATTTTAAAACCATGTAAATTTTTCTCTGCCTCTCTTTGCAAGATTCACATCTCTGTTCACTGAGAGGATGTTAGCACTACATTCAACAGTATGCTTGTAGTATATATGCAGAGGGAACACCTGTAAAACCTTTAAATAAATTTGCTGGAGGACTAATAATAGACAGGGAAACACAAGACTATTTACCCTGAACCTCATGTGGGTTTTGATTGCTGATGCCTCTACATTGTTTCTGGAAGCCAAGATAGTATTTTTCATTTAAAGCTAACTCAGTTGTATATATGTATATGTAAACATGCCAAACACACCACACTTGTACAGGTACATCTCTTCCCTAAGGAATTGCTCCTACAGACTGTGATGCAGACACACCTTCAGCGGTATGAGGCAGAAATTCCCCCAGAGAAATCTGTGGGCTTGCTTACATTACTGTGCAAGAGAAAGATGAGTAACATGAGGTGAACTAAAAGAAACAAAAATGGAACAAAATCACAACCTAAACCAGAACTTTAGATTGACAAATTTAGGAGGGAGAATATGTGCTAGTGGAATTGGGGCTGCTATCTCTGAGAATACTGGCCCTAGCATCTTTCATCTGTCACTAAAAATTAACTTCATAAAAAATGATCTTAGGAGGGTGTGATCACACTGCAGTGCCTGGAGAGCTCTCAAAGGAAGCACATGCTCGACGGTGTGATCACAGCAAAATGACAACAGTGTGATCTAAAAATAAATTGGTTCTCTGCTCTGAAGCTGGTTTCTCCCACAGATGCCCAATCCAGAGCCTCCAATTACTGCTTTAAGGGCTAGGCAGAGAAATAAACAATCTGTGGATGGCACTTGTTTTCTATACACCACATCTGCATGTCAGGAAGGTGAGCTTGTTACTGTGTGAGAAAGCATAAACAAATTATTTGATCATAGGCTATGCATATGAGTAGACACCAACTCAAGTCTTTTAATATAAAAGTCCCTTCCCAAATACCTAGCAACCCTTATTATTCCTTGTCCAAGACAAGACTGGACCACAACAAATCACAGTTCAGATCCAGGAGTGCTGAAAAATGAGCCTGTGAAGCTGTATCCAGCAGAGCATCATTCTGAGAGAAATAAGTCCCTTTGACAAGTCCATCATACAGTGGGCATAACTGCAAATGACTGTTCTGAATCCAAGCAATCATCTGTCACTGTCTGGGCTCAGCAGCTGTGCCAGGTACACTGCAGAGCTCACAGCACTTCTGCATCATCTTTCCCACAGACCTAAGAGCAAAGCAACCTATTTCCTCTGGTGCTCACTGAACATCAATATGCCACTGGGAAAACGCTTCCCCTTCGTTCAGCTGATGGTGAGCCTGTAATGCTAATTGTGAGGACTGCTGTAATTGCATCATGTGTTTTCTAGGTGCTGTTATCCTACAAAACAGAGCACTATCCTCTTACAAAAAAAACCCGTTTGTTTGCTGCGAATTATAAATCACTAGGTACATACACAAATGAACAAAATGGTGAACCTCTTATTAACATTTAAGGTCCCCACTGAACAAACAGAAAGCCTTCTGGTAGCCTAAGCTCTACATGTCCTGAGGCACAGAACAGTATTTTGCCTTATTTACTCTCTATTCAGAAGAAAGAGTTCACAATCAAGGTTGGGGTAGTTTCTTTTTTTTTTTTTTTTCCTTTTTGGGTTTCCTATTCAACAGAACAAAAAGAATAAACTTTGCACCTTTGACTCAAAAGGTGCTACCAAGAAAACCAGTTGCAACAACATAGCTGCTTTCCAGTTTTCTCAACCCTTTTAGCAAGTCTGGACATGGCCATTCACCTAGACTCCAAAAGAATTTTGGTGCCTAATTTGAGAAGCAATTAATCCCTGAAGCAGCTAGATTAGGTGAGATCTACCTGCACTCTTCTTTACCAAGCTGGTAAGAAGCTGGATCTGAGAGCGCCCATCCCAAAGCCAAAGGGGAGTGATCTGCATCAGAAGTTGCTGCACTTACTGAACAGAGCAACATTTGAGATCATCCATTCCCTAAGTTCTTTATACAGTGATGGCTACTTTCCCTTAAAATTGAGACAATTTTGGGTTTTGCTTAATATTCTTTTAAACATAAATACATACAGAGACCAGCAAAAAAAGCTCTACATCCTTGCTTGAAAATCACCTCAAATCACTCATCACATATGTTCCAACAAATACTACATTCAGAATGGATTGTTCACTAGCAACCAGATTTGGAATAGGCAAATACTACAAATAAATTGTCCCAAGCCCAGCATTTCTGGGCTGCCATCAAGTGCTTAAACTCATGGAGAAAAATATTTCAAAACCAAACACTTCTAAGGTGTCAGGACACTTCACACTGTATAAGAACCTAAAAATAGACCCAAAATACAAGTCTCAGTTATCTCACACTGGACAGAAAAAAAGCACAAAGCTTCCAGAGACAGAAGCTTTAATTTAAAAAAAATTAATTAAAATTAATTAAATTTAATTAATTTAAATTAATTTTAAAATTATTTTTAAAATTTTTTTAAGTTTTTTTTTTTTTTCATTTTACCAACCAATTAATTCACTGACATGAGCAAATATTAGTTTAAGTTAGTGCCATATCAAAGACACCTGGGGACTTCATCCACCCTTGTTCCCCATCATAAACACCTCCCTTTGCTCCCTGTAAGGGTAGAGCATCTGTCCTGCAAGCCCAGAGTGAGGCTACCCAATACACACATGGCTTGTAGCACATTGGCCCATCCTCCCACTGCACCTGGGAAAGAATGGCTTTTCATGGCTGCAGAGACTGGGAATGCTCTGGCATTAAAGTGTGTGGTACATCTCTGGGAAGCCAGGATAAAAAATGCAAGCTGCAGGCCAGTTTACAGTG